GAAAGGACAAAGTTAGGTTACTACTACGATCAGGTGAGCCACCGTTGACAGGTGACCTTTGTCGTCAATCGTCACAGTTTGGTTATCTTGAGACACCGAAGCTACTACTACTAAGGAAAACATCATGATTAGGGTAAAAACAGGTTAAAAAATAAGAACATATGTGACGGAAGTTAAATACTTCATACTTAGGTCAATATTGACTTTAGGTTTCACATGGGACAAAAACAACGATCTCCTCAGGGGAAAAGTCTTCGTTCGTTTGACACACTCATCCAGTCTGACTTCTTCCCTACATGGAATTTGTCGCTCTTCCTTCAAAGTTAACTGACTGATTGTTTTCCTGTATGGCATTTGTGTGTAAAATGACACACTAATCATTTTTAAACAGTAAAAACTCTGGAAACTAACTGAGACTCAATTGAAAACATTTTAAACAGATAAAATAAAAACTAATGAAAAATCCAAAACTGTAGTAACTCTGTTCTTTTTGATTCCTACCTGCGGCCCTTTACTGCATGTCATCCCCCCTCTCTCTCTTTCTCTCTCTCAACTTTCCTGTCAATCCTCAGCTTTAAAAGGGAAAAAAAGGCCCAAAAAACATCTTTTAAAAACCCCAAACCTGCCTCTCTCGGCTGCATGTAAGTGAATGTGAACGGTTGCTCTTCAGAGACATTTTGCGTGACTGTTTCTGACATTCTTTTGCAATTATTATTATTTTCATTTTTTTTTTTAAACTTGAGCCACTAATCTGCTTCTTTGATACGCTTGGTCACACGCCACGTTGTTGAGATTGGATTGCTCCTCTGGGAACATCTGCAGTTACCCATAATAAAGTTCCCCAGCGTCGATCTGGAGATGTTTATGTGCATTTTTGCAAACTTTTGCCAGTATTAGAGAATTGCTCTCCCCACACTGAGGATGAAAGGAGAGATAAGCAGCATTGTTGCATTAAACAACGACTCGCTTCATACATTATGAGTAATTTCCCACATCAGTTTCCAAATAACAACGGTCCTGTTATATTTGAACATATTTCCAAAGCAGAAACCTACAACTTGTGTGAACAGCTGATGAACCCAGCAGTGTCAGAGAGTCTGAAAGGAGCTCCTAAGTGAGAGAGATATAAGATTTCACTTAATTTGAGACACTGGATGTTTGTTTGGGGAATAAAAATACAGTATAGAGAAAGAGAAGCACACACACACACATAAATAGATTGTGGCAGCAAAGTGTATTTATATTGGATCGAATAACTGTAACAATCTGAAGCAGAACTCATTATTGTAGCTTATAAAGAACTGTACATTAGTTGATTATTTTGGCATAAACATAATGTATTGCATGATGTCACATAGGTAATAGGGTACATAATAACTAGTGGTGGTGGGAAAAGGTCTTTAAAACATTCTTTAACGTGTTTAGATGAGTTGAAATAACAATATTTTGTCGCATTAACATGATTTCTGTACAACGTCAAGACCCACTTTATACTATAACGACCTTAATGTGATTATTTGGATAACACTTGTGAGGTTGTTGGAGACAGAGAGGTATGAAGAAGGAGGGTCGGTGGTATTGGTGGAGAGAGAGAGAGAGAGAGAGAGAGAGAGAGAGACATTGCTATAATTCCTCTGTGGAGTGAGGAAGGATATTTATTGACTGTGTATCAAGCAGGAAGGCTCCATCAATCAAACACACACACACACACACACACACACTACTCTCCCTCTCTTCCCTGCACTTTAAAATTACTTCATTACAAGTAAAAAATATGTAAGTATTAATCAGTTTAATCAAGTATCACGTAATGTACGTGTTAAATAACTTTTTTTTGGTCTTACACTATATTTTATTGAGTTTTCACAACTAAAATCATCAAAGAAGTTTACATAACGTATAAAATGTTGATGGAAAATTTACATCTAAGTGACTAAATATTATAATAACATGATTTAAATAAATATTTAAAGAAACTAAGCAGTACTGCACCTTAAAAGTACTCAACTACATATAACAGTACATGAGTATTAATCAATTTAATAAAGTCTGATGTCATTTAGATTTAAGGAAGTTGGTTGAACTAATTTTTTTGCTTTTTTAATGTTGGCTCTACTCAATTTGTTTCATCTTACACTGTTTATTATTGAGTTTTCCCAACTCAAAACACCCAAAAAGTTCAGTTAACATATAAAAAGTGGGTTGAAAATGTTGCCTCAGTTATATCTAAGTAACAGTTTTTACAGTGTATGGTCCGTCCATTTCACATGACTTTGATGTCAACATTTAGCCTTTAATCTGATAGTGGTTTCAAAATCACTGTTTTTATCTTGTATAACTTACAAAGAAAACATGACTCAGTAAAATTGGCATTTTCCCACCTACTCCTCCCTTTCTCTGAGACAGTTCAGGAATTAAATACTTGGTGTTACAACCAAGGTTACGCTGCTCCCCTGTTTACAGGATTTGTTCTTTCAAAACAGGAGTTTACTGAACAGAAAGAGGTTCTTTTTTATGCACTTTTCACAAATGTTTAACAGATTTGCAATCAGATTTTGTCGGAACTGGTAGACACTTCAATACCACAATTTAAAGCATAATATACTGCTTCTCAAGTAAAAGTCCTGCATTTAAAATCTTACTTACTTTAGTATCAGTAAAATATACTGAAGTATCAAAAGTAAAGATACTTATTCTGCAGAAAATGTGTGACTGATATCAAATATGACATCATTAGATTGTTAATACTGTTGTAGCTGGAGCATGTTTTAACTTCTTTCTATACAGTGGTTCCCAACATAGGGATTGGGCCCATCCAAAGGGTCACAGGTTCAGCTGCTCAAATCTGCCTTTCTTGAGTAAATTTGACTTTTTTATCTTATCTTTCCTTTACTGGGAGATATTGGATCACTTCGAGCTCTTTGGGCCTAAAACGGTTGCTTCAATAAAACCATCTGAGAAGTTTAGAGGTAAAACGTCTCTCTGGTAGAAACTGCTAACAACTGTGGAAATGTGGAAATTCAATCTTGGTAAAATTTGCATCACAGACTCAAGCAAGTAACAGCCTTTGTTTTTTAGTCTCTTGGAGAACTGATGTGTCTCTCATACTTCTGTGAATGATGCCTCTGACAATCCTTTGGCTTCTGATTTCCTGTTTTTTGGGTTGATTCGAACAAACAACACAACTGCGGCCGGTACAGTTCAGTCACCGACCAACAACCTGCTTACATGAACATACATCTTGATCAGAAACGTGGGTGTGAGAAACACAAACTCCCACAAATCTCTCCGTCACAGCTGGAATCACAAATCACAACAGTCGTACTCAGCTTTGAAACATCTCGTATCAGACATACCGACCTGAAGAGCAACCGATACCTGCGGTAACAGCTTAGACAGCTTAACAACACAACCAACTGCCAAACAGATTATATCAATTCACTGGAAAACTGCTGCACAAACAGCCTCCAAAAAATACGCTCAAACACACATTCTTAGGAAAGAAAAAACAAGCTAAGATTAAAATCTTGTTACGCCCTTTCTGCTCTCTCCCTCTCTCTCACTTTTGATGTCTCCCTCGGTGTCATTTGACCTTTGAGGAAGAGAGACTGGCCCCTGACCTGTTGACCTCCAGCCTATAAAAAACAAAGAAAAAGTCAATAAATCCAATAAGGTTCTATGAGGCGTGAACAGAGCAGGTGGCGAAACATACATAGTCATTAGTGGGCGCTTTCTAAATATTCATTCGCACAATGCTGAGCAATTTACACCGAGGTAATAGTGCAGAGTCGGCAGGATCCCTCGGACAGTGGCAGCCGGTCACAACATACTGCGCAGACGAAGAACTGAAAAGTGGACGTTTTAGTTCTTTAAATTTAAATGCAGAGAGGTTAAATAGTTAATAATCTGTTGTTCTTTATCAACAATGTGTTCATAGAGCACAGATCCTAAAGGTTGAAGGGGTACCTGCTTATACACTTGATCTTCCCTCCATCTGTTTAATGTATTATTCATTAATGGGTTATAAAACTCTGGAGTCACGAGGTCAAAATGCTCAACTTTACTTGATTTTATGGGAAAGAAATGAGAATATTGACTAATACACGTCAGCAGAAGATGGGGGGGGGGTAAAAATCCTAATAAAGTTATGTTTTAATGTTTTACTAAAGTGAATTTTTTTAAAATGTAACTTAAATCATAGGTGACTGTTATGATATCACATTGATCACATGACATATAATACAGATGGGTATCATTTTCACATATTCACTCTCTTTTTAGGATTTTACCATATTTTCTATCATTTGATGTTTGAAACATAAACATCTTTCATAACTTTATGGTTATTTTTGTGCTTTTAAATAATCTTTTAGCTTGTAATATGTGTGAATAAAAATGTGTTGCTTTGAAATGCTTTATATGATTGCTTGATTTTGAGTAAGTTAGCAGAAAATAATGTAAAACCATAATTTTTGGGGAAATAAAAACCAGAAAATTAGACGTTATCATCGTGTTCAGTCTAACAATCCTTCACTGCGACCAAAAAAAGGTCCACATCTGTCAAAAGGACAGATGTGGGATGTGGTCGTGGAGCCCAGGTGGCCCCATCTGGATGTAAATCTGGACCCGGCTGAGCTGCTGGCCTTTTATTACTGCGGGACTGCAGACTAGTCAACCCATTACTCAGCAAAAAAACAACCCCACAGCACATGGAGCCTGTGCGCTGCAGCACATTACTGATGTACTGCACAGGGAGGGAGGGAGGGAGAGAGAGAGAGAGGGAGGGAGGGGGAGAAGGGTGACGACAGGTATGTTTGCAAACACACAGGTAAACTGTACAAAACAACTGTAAGCAAGGAGCGTTAAAGCCGACACCAGGAAGCAGAATAAACGCCACTAAATGAAGAAATGTTGCTCTCTGAGGGGGTGAGGAGGGGGGGATGTCTCCGTGCACATTGCGCATGGAGGTCTAAAAACCCCCGGAGCTTAAAGGGCTGTACCTTGCTGTCGAGGACGCTGCCTCCCTCCTGGAGCACCTCCGCACTCAGCTCCCCGGCGGAGGCTGAAGCTGAGGCTGAGGCTGGGGCATCCTCCTGGCTCTTCCCGTCCCGCTGCACTGAGCTCTCTGCTCCCATGGCGAACAATCACGCAAGGTGAACTTGGTCTTCGTCTTCAGTCGTCTTTATAAAAAGACAACAACACAAAAAAAACCCCCAAAAAACCCGCAGCGACCCTGCGCGTTAAAGCGCCGACAGATGATACCACGCAGCGAGTATCCAAAGCGTCTAAATGACGAGCTCTATACGGTGCAGCTCCGCCCCGGAGTGGCCTGGATCTGGAGTGATGAAGTGTGAGGACCAGCAAACTCTTTTAGGACACCCCCCACCCCACACACACACCCTCCTCTTCTTCCACCTCCCAACACCTCCCTTCAGTATCACATGGGGCTCCGGTGCGCCGCGGCACGCCTTGCAGCATCAGGGAGACGGTGGGTGCTGATGGAGGATGAGGAGGAGGAGGAAGAGGAGGAGGAGAGGTGAGGAGGAGAGAAAGGACTGTCAATAAACAGAATAAAAACTTTACAGTTTGTGGCGTTTATCCGTTTTCAAGCAGAAATTAGATCTATCCTAAGAGATTGGTCAATTGAATTAGAGCTGTTATGAAACACTGACACTGCAAACATTAAAGCAGAAACCTACAAGAAGCCCCTGTGGAGATAAAAGGGACTTTAAAACCCAGATAACTACTGGATTGTCACATGCTGGGAGAAATATTCATATTATACAACACAGACATTATTTGTGGGGCATTTAGTAAACGGGTGGTTAAATTGAACTAAACTTTACTTGACTTTCTGAGATTTAATTTAAAATTATTAAGATATAAGATTATTGGAATTTTTTGCCACATTTTTCTGATGTTTGTAGTTTGTAACAGAAGAAAGAAGCACAATAAGCTATAAAATGTAATACCTCGCAATGCATACAGGGAAAATTAATAATATAAAACATTCTTTATAAGAGTTTTATTTATTATTTGAAGTTGAAGTAATGGATACATCAAGACTAACGTATAGAGACAGTAAAAAAAGAGTAAAAAACACGACTTTGAATACATAAATTAAACTATGCTCGAGTATCATTAAGACTTTTATCTTAATTAGCTACTTTTCAAATATGATAAAGATATTTTAGATTTATTTTCCTTCAGCGCCACCTTATTATCTCTATATATACCTTCCTCTTGTGGTAAACAACATCTGCAAATAGCCTTGAGTTAAGTTCTGCATGTTCAGCATTTAGGTGGAAAGACTCGTTTATATCAACACTGAAACAAACACAAACAGTCCTGCAGCTTTTTTGTTTTCTCCCATTTTTGTCAATTTACACTGACGCTGGAGAACATAACTCTTGTTTCAAGTTGCTTTAATCAGCCTCGTAAATTAAATGAAGGTTGTGAAAAATTAAATTTTTAGTCTCTGATGCACACACATACACATATATAGTACTCACATTACTCTTATAGGTGACAGACTGTCTCGTGTAGTGTGTGTGTGTGTGTGTGTGTGTGTGTGTGTGTGTGTGTGTGTGTGTGTGTGTGTGTGTCGTCTTCGTTCATGGGGAGATGATGTTGAAGTTTAAATGTTAATTGCAGGTTGGGCTCCATGTGCCATTTTGTTTGGAATTTTCACAAATTACAGCCCGAGTGCTCAAAGCCAAGTTCACACAGGCCTCGACGGAGGGTCCCTGCGGCTGAACCAAACTGAAATACACACACACACAAACACACACACACACACACACCCACACAAACACAATTCAACAACACAAACAAACAAACACTTGGAGTAGAGAAACACACTGGTGAAATGTAAAATCGTGGAGGTTTCTGACCCGTCAAAGTGTGTCCACAGTAGCAATCTGGCCTGAAATAACAATAAAAGATATTTTATTTATCCGGTTTGGGGGGGTGGATCTGAAGAAACATTATTCTCTAAATGTTTTTTGTAGCTCAACAGGGATCGCTTTCGAGCAGAGCTGTGGACTACAGACTTGGAGTTTCATAAGTACAGTTTTAAGTCACAAAAATGGGGATTTCAGACTTGACTTCTTTGACATTTGAGATTTGACTGACTGCCCGAAGAATACATCATGTTCAGTGCCCGAATTGGACCAAAAAAGGTGTCAGTACCCTAATTCATCAAAACCTTGACCCAAGGACTGGCTACATCTTTACAAGGACTAGCAACATCTTATCTCATTACTGTACACAGGGTTTTAGAAATACTGAAGTCCAAAATCTGAACTTGCTCAGCAGAGTTGGCGGCATGCAAAACGTCAAAGTGAAGTTATTTTAAGGCAGTTATTTCACGACTTTCACTGTAAAACCCATTGGAAAAAATACAGAGGCCCTGATCTCTGTGACCTCAGTGGTGGGTACATCCGTAAATAAAACGTATGTGAGCAAAAATCATAAGTACCGTCGTGTAACCGGTGTGTGTACCGGTCGTGTTTTTACCTGGTGAAATGACTTCGTTTTGACCTCGTAAAAACCCGGAAAAATGAAAAATAAATAAGACACATTGTATAGAAATACTTTTAATGATTAGGCCTAATTGAAAATGTCTAAAATGAACAAATCTGGGGGTTCTCTGTAGCTCGCTCCTTATACTAGCTTAAAACACTCACATTTTTGCCTTGTGTGTTTTGCCATGTCAGGACTTTCTTCCATGATCTTCTCCTGAAGCTAACCAAGAAGTTTAGGTTTTCTGGCAGAAATCCCTGAAGGCAAACTTCTACCATGTAGCAAGCAAAACAAGCAAACCAGCTTCTGTGACATTAAAGCTCCCTCTCTACCCACATTGTTGATGATTAGTATCACTGGCACACGGACATCTAATTTAATAAAACGTAATGCCATCATGATCACAGACACATGATGGGACTATAGGAATGTCTGACGCACAGGGTCAGTGTGCACCTAATACAACATTCCTCCTCGAGTTACCTTGTTACATTAATAGTGTATCCATTGATGTTTACATGTGCAGGAGTCAGGAAATAAACAACGAACTCACCATGGCTATATTGCACGTGGTTTCACTTCATCAGCACTTTAGAAGGATTAAATCCTACACAGGCAATTCCCACACCTGACTGATATTAAGGTTTTACTCTGACGTTCTCATATTACAGATAAACAGTTCACAAAAATATGTTTCTGAAATGATTTTAGGTGAGAAATAGACAACACAGTGACAGAATATTGATTCATATTTGATCAGCGCTGCCTAGTTTGACAATTTGATCCATTGCGGATGTACTCACTGAGAATGAGCAGTCAATCACAAGGTAGCCACGCCCTAAAGGATACCCTGCTTTATCGTCTCTTTTAATCTAAATTGGACAATAATCTACAAAAGGAACATCATGCTTCACGGAAGGAGATTTACAATTATTAATTAAGACCATAAACTCATTTGGAAACTGTTTACTGAGCTAATAAATCAAATAAGAAGTAGGTTAATTTCTCCTAAGACTCAATACTATCAGATTGTTTTGCAGCCTATGGAGGTCATTAGAAAGGATGCAGGTTTAGTTCTGTTCACTAATAATATTATTATATACACATTCAGGTTCTTTTGAAAGTGTAGGATTTTTAACTCTTGTCCTATCTCAGGACTTTATTGTCTTAAAAAGATTTAAGTGCTTTTGGTTGAGTTTTCATTTCCATTCATCAAAAGTAAAAACATTTCTTACTCTATATCTAATTTGCTTAAAAACAGATGTAGTAACAATATGCAAGAAACTGCACATTTATGAAGATGACACCCTCATTTACATTAAAATAACACACAACACAAGTATTTAATTCTTATAGCAAACATGTTGTTAGGCATCTTTATTCACTATTCACTGTTCACGCTATTGTTTATTTACCAATGGTGGAAGTCCATGAGCCAGGCAGTTTAATTATGATGTTTTTAATTGTATTATATTAAGATGTAGGTTGTGTTTCTATGTTATTTCCAGTGAAAATTTAATCAATACGTCAGATTTGATTCAAACCTTTTGAGATAGATCAAAGAGGAGTTAGAGTTGTGTCAGTCACTACAGTGGTTTCAATTTCTGGACTAATTTGAGCTTCTGTCAGGACATTAATACCTCAGTAAACTGCCTCTGTTAGTCACAACAGCAGAACATTCAAGATTTAACTTTACTTTAAATTTTATAAACAGAAAATGTCTTAAAAAAGAGTAAGTGCACACAGACAGTATGAGAGCATTACTTGGGACAATGTATTTGACAGAACTGACATCGTATTCCCCCTCTAACCCCCGACTGTACTGTGATTAAACCGCTTTGCTCCCAGAGGTGCAAACGGTGCACATCAATCCTCACGAGTGCAATTTCTCATCGACCTTTGTGACACAAAATTATCTCCGACTGTTTTGATATGATTCAGTAAGAACACAGCCTGTTGTAGTTGTACAATTATAGAATAATTTCAAACACGTTTTTGCGAGACGAAGTAAACCGAGACAGAAAATCTCATTAGAGTTGCACAGTGAATGTGGATAGATGTGTTAGTCAATGACCTTCAGCATGGCAGGCCCATCAGGAGAAACGCTTATGTCATCTGAAAGAGGAGGGGGAGGGAGGGATTGAGGAGTGGAGTGAGACGGGGGGAGGGAGGAGGTTCTCATTAAAGTGAAAGCCTTACCGGATATGTCATGGTCTCCGCTCAATAAAACAGTAATGTAAGGGCACATTAAAGGCACAAAGCACGCTCACACTTACACACACTTACAAGAGGAAGGGTTCAGTAACCTTCACAAACAAATTGGCTAACTCTCTCTTTTTCACACTTGTCTTTCTGAGGAGAAACAGGAATCCACTCCAGGATCAAATACAACCAGCCTATTGTTATCTGCAGACATTAAAATACAGATGTTTGAGTACAAAAAATCATCTTTCTGCTCAGTTGTGGAAGGAACACTCATCCAAATTATAGATATTTATAAAAATGTACCTTTCTTGTGAACTGTAAGACACTTACGGTAAAACTGTAACTACATCAGCTACAGCAGAGATAATATGTGAAAACTTTGAGAGACTCCCACACGACTTCCTGTTCATACACGGACTGCATATTTTTATTTTGTTTTGTTTAAAAAATGCAACAGTGAATCGGTGGGAAGTGCTGTGTTTTTCAGACAGAGACAGGGTGAGTTGAAGAATGTGGCCCTGAGGGTTGATGTCTGGCGCGGGCACAGTGCGAGGGCTCGCCCTGACACAGCGAGGGGTTTGACACATTCATACTTTGTTACAAGCAGCGAATGAAAAAGGGGGTTTGTGATGTAAAACAGACGTTACCGGACAACACAGGGCTGAGTTATAATCATATTATCCCCCAAAATGAATCATAAAAAGCTGTCAACTGGACTGTGACATGTAAAGTGGGGCGATAATTATTCTATACATAAATTATACTGAACAAATAGTCTAAAGGGAATGTGGGAAGTATAAGGAAAAACACCATTTATCCAGAGCATCACCTGACGTTTCATGGCCAGTCTAAAACACTACTTGGCCCCTATGTATGTCAGTTAGCTTTATTGATGAAAATGCACCATGTACCATATAAACAATATTAAATAATAATGCAGCAGGACCCAGTTAATATTGTACTTAACTCGTGCAAACAAAAGGCAACTTCCACAAAGTGAATCTGAGACTTTTTGGGGCCCCCCGGAGGTCCGAGGTTCAGGGGCAGTTGCTGGTTTTGCCCGGTTGGAAATCCAGCTTCGGATCATCTGAACCGTTTTCCAGAGATACACTCACACAGACATTCAAAAAGGACCTGTCCTTGGTACTGAAATTAGCCAGTCTATTAAATATGAGCACTAAAAGATGAAGAAGTCCAAAGCTGAACATAAACAAACTTTGATTTGACAAAGCGGGGGGGATTTTCCAGCACGTTACAAAGCAATGACGAAACCCACTCCTCATCGACACCATGTCTTCAAATCTGTCATCAGCTCAAAACAAGAGCCTTCAGTCTCACACACACACACACACACACACTAACTAAATGTGCCGTTGGAGCACTACTGTATAAATGACAGCATTCCTGCAGCCTTTACTGTAGTTAAAGTGCCAGATCCTGCCCAGTGAACACAGAGAATAACAGACTTAGCAGGTGTGGAATGGCAGCTATGATAGGCACACACATGTGGACACATGTATGTGGGCTCTATCTTGCAAAACCCAAACACTTCATAATGACAGATGCTGCACCCTGGGGTGTTGCTGGCGGGGCCCGACTGTTGGTTATCAGGCACGCTTCCAACACAGGGACCGCCCCCCCCCCCGTGTGGGAGAGAAGCTACACTTGAAAAACAGAAGAAAATTATGAAAAGTTTTTAAATAATATGTGAGTGGAAGTGAGAGAGAAAGAGGACATTTTTTTTGTTTTTTAGTTAACGTTTGTATTAAAAGCATCTCTTTGGAGAACCAGGAGATAACAGGAAGTGAGTGCGTGTGTCCAAACAACAGATGGCCTGAGCCACAAGTCAGCTGCTGGGTGTGAAAACACAAACACACAGTTTTAGAGTAAATGAAAGGTTTATTTGAGGAAAAAAGGCACACACTTTTGATCTCTGAGAACCAAAATGTTTCACATACAACTGTTGCCAATGAGAACTATAGTTATTTTCTAAACAAGACTGGACGACTGTATGAAGTTTAAACTTTAACAAAAAGCTTCAGGTACACCTGTGATTACATTGTGATTAATCAAGACATACTGACACTGGTATTTCTATCTGATAAGTAACGTGTAAGTCTGAAATGTAAAGAGGAGGGACACCTCGCCTGAAATTAAGACCACCTCCAGTAACATCATAAAATACTTGCAAACATTTATGATATAAGCATTAACCATCAAATGCCACATATTCAGGCTGGATATATATACACTTTTTTTCCCATCACATAAAAATGTAATACTTGAACAAAATCTTTAAAAAATGGCTTTGACGTGATGAGTCTGTAACTTGTAGTGTGTTTCATTCAGACAGTAGAGCAGCTGGGACATTCAGCAGCATCCAGCAGGTTTGGACACAAGAGGTTACATTAAACACCGTAATGGCTTTTTGTGCGTACAACAGCAATTTAGTTAATAAATACACAAGCTGCTCCCCATTTCAATTAAAAAGCTTAAGACTTATTTTTAAAAAAAAATAAAAATGCAGCACAGTTGTAAGACATTTGAGTTTTTCACAACAAAAAAGGAATATTATTAGTCTATGAAAACAACATTAAAGTAAAATTCAAGCTGACTGAAAACTTAAACTGACTATTCCATAGAAGACATTGTACAGAGAGGTAAAAAAACCATACAGAATAAACGGTATACAAGATATGGATGTAGACGGTCGTCTTTGGCATGTCACATAATGTGTGCAAATTACAGCATAGAAGCTAACGCTCCAGTAAACATGTTAATGTAATGTGGGGAGAGTTTTGGGCGGCAGGGAAGAGTGAGAAAGCATTTCTTGTCCAAGGTAGAGAGAAAGGATGAGTCTGATGGAGGATCCTGAGGGAAGAGCAGGGACAACAGGATGATGAGTTTAACTGTGAGTATAAGTGAGAGTGTAGTCTCATAGACTGGAGCCTTTGGCACCGAGTGAATGGTAGTAAACTCCAGAGAGGAAATTAAGTCTCATGTAACAAGTTATATAGACAATGACTGCTTGTTAAATGTTTATAATGATACAGTGAATGCTCCTGGAACAGTGTATTTACTTTATGTTGATGTGTGTGAATACCTATATATGGATATCTTTAACTGGAGCATCCTCAGAAGAGCCCAGTGATCTCTTCTGTGACCGGGTCAAGGTCAATGTCGTAGAAACAGGGTCGGGTTGGCAGACCAGGCATGGTGCTCATCTGAGGGAAACAAAAGCAGAGGAACTTCAGTCAGTGTAAGTTCAGGCTCTAATCCTTTTCCCTGTCAAACTGTCTCATGTTTTTAATGTAGCTATTGTTTCAGGTTGTTGGGTCCAGTTCAAGGTGGTGAAAAACCTGTGAACTGGTCAGCACTGCAGGACCTGGCTAAACACTTTGAGGACTAAAACAAAAAACACCATAGCCAAGTGTTTTCTGATTTTAAACATTCAATTCAAATGTAATTTATTACTCAAGATCGAAAATTCGTATCTATATCTTTAATTAATACAACATTTTACACACCCTCCTTGTTTTTCCCAATTTTAGAGTGCTACGGTCTACTGGGACTTCATTGTGACTAAAATGTGTTCACCATTTCTTTTACACACTTAATAAAAGTGCTGAGACACGTAGACAGAAATAAATATATGAACAGTGTGTGAGACAGTGTAGCTACAATTAAATAGAACAAAAGATCAACTGATAAATTATAATCTCTTTAAAATAAATCAATAAACCAATGAAGAAAAGAATGAATACAGTATATATATATATATATCCTACAGAAAAAGAACCTTTTATGTAAAGTTGCATCCTCACATAAAAGATGTCTGGTATCGAGCTCTCTTGATGAGAAAGGTGCAACAAGTAACACAAATATTAGCAGCTGCCTCATATCGTTTGTCCATTTTTAAACAGGAGTCTCATAAAAGTTTCAGTGACAACATAAGCCAATAAGAAGGTAAGATTACAATCTAGATAATTACTGAAACATCCTATTAGAGCCTTTTTCCACAACACAGCTGTTCTACACCAAAAAGACAATCCACTAAGAGTTGGTATCAGACCTTGCATAAAGGAGTCAGAATAAGATCAACCCCCTGCAGGTTCAATGACTATAATCTAGACTCATTTAACTCTGGGCAGACAGATGATCAATGTGTTGACAACCTCCACTTTGGCAGTGATGGGTTTAGCCACAGACAAACAGTTGCTTTGTTCGCAGTGTCGTCAAAATAGAGATAACAAAAGGGTAGCTCGCAGATATGAGACAAAGTTAAGAGCTTATGTACAAAGTCAAAGTGGTAATATCGACTACAGTTCTGATGGATCAAGACTACTGCCAGAAGAATGAGGTATGAAGAACCTCCTGGATTTCTAGTGAAAGAAAGTGATTATATTTGGTTCTTTCACATTCAGCGTTGATGCAGCACTCTCAGTATTTCTGGTGTGCAATAACTTTATTAGCAAGAATTATTTGAAATAGTGGGAAATCTTTCAGTAGGTTTCCAAAATTGGTGGATTAACTTCCTCTAAAAACACCAACAAATAGTTACATAAAATTTACTCAGAACAGGAACTTTTTATCCTGTCCACCTCCACTTATGTGTGTGTGTGTGTGTGTGTGTGTGTGTGTGTGTGTGTGTGTGTGTGTGTGTGTGTGTGAGCCAACCATAAGCATGTGAGAACCCGCTTATGGTTGGGTTACACTGCCTACCTGAGCAGCATGTGTCCACACAGGATGCTGCCAGCTCTACCTTTCTATACTTTATACTTTGATAAATACAATACAGTTAATGCCTCATTAACAGATGAATGGAGAGCTTTTAATCTATAACACATACAGGAGGTGATGAAGTAAAAACAACAACTGACGGTAGAAATTCTTCAGAAAGACATTTGTGACATGAACCGGACCAACGAGACCAGATACTGACAGCATGCTGTACCGTTCAGGTGCCATCTGAATCTAACATTTCAAGTCAATAAACGTGTGACTCCAGTGAGAGTTACACATAAGGAATTGGTTTGCGCAGTACAATTGATCCGAGGCCAACTGTCTGACTCATAAAACACTTCTCCTCTCCCAAAACCAAACCAGATCATCCCATCCGAACTGAAAAGTAAATTATCTCGCTCATTAGACAGAAGAGCGACATTCTTTGCATGCCTCCCCCCCCCTACTGAACCAGGGCCAGTTTTATGGGCCCATTAGTGGAAATGAGACAGAAGGAAGTGACCAGCCAATTTCCTGTCTGAGGAAACGCGTCTGTGAGGAAAACGAAGGGACAAAACGAGGAGCACACGCACTCTCATTGTTGGCTGCTCTGATGTCAACAGTGGCCGCTGTTACGTGACACCGTTCTGACCACGTCCATCGATAAGGCTTTAACCACAGATGACTCAGAGTATGAGCAGATTTAAAGGAAGTCAATATCAACGCATTACATTTTATTCTAATGGACCGCGTTAAGAACAAAAGACGGCAGAGGAGTCCTTTTCGTTGTGACATCACAATGTTCAAACACTACTGTGTGATGTCAACTGGATTCGCTCTCATGTTTCCCATCGACAGCGTTATGTGACTCACAGCTGAAGCGAAGTGGATCGACAGGAAACTTTCCCTGATGAATCATCAGTACGAAAGGTTAAAAACAGCATTAAGGTGCCCCTGGCAGCTCACCTGACCGTGGGTTGAGTCTGAATTTTTATTTTAAAGGTGATTATACACTAATGAAAACACACCTATGAATCTTATATTCCATTTCTGCCAATAGATCCTTTCTAAATGTTACACACTGGACCTTTAAGCTTAACACACACACACAAATACACACACTATGGGGACAATCATGGAGAGAAGTTAAATGAACTTGAGTCTGACCCCAGCCTGGTCTATAAATTAAAAAAACAGACCCAAGCAGGGCTCGAATTGACCTGTCTGGTCCCAGACAAACTTGCGGACCTCTAATTACAACCAGCTCATTGATAAACAGGGAAGCAGATAATACTGACTGTATTTTACATCTCTAAACAGGAATGACATCCAGAGAAATTACTACCATAAAATGTGGTTGGAGGGAATAACAAAGCGCCTGTCTTACCTTCCTAAACTAAGCAGGGCTGCAATAAAGAAGATTCTTCCATCACCCCTCATCAAGAACACACTCTCACTCAAATTAAACTGATAAACTTCCCCATAACTCTCAGTTCACAGAAAGATACAACTCAAAACTTGCTCAAAACTCACTCAAATAATTTAAATAAACCACTGTAAAGTAATATGATTCCCCAAACATGAGTTATTCTTCCCTCTCAGCGTTTTCCCGTATAAAGTATCAGGCTGCACATTTAAATATCAAAAGATGCCAAAATGTGCAGACAAACTGAAGGTTTTGAAAGCAACAAAGGCTGTGCTGTTCTGCCGGTCCTCCTCCTCTCCAGCCTGAGAACAAGTTGGCACTCGCAAAAACACACAACACTCCGTGGCTAAAGTTGGAAACTCCACTCAGCCAAATAAGTCCCTCTATTATGCCCACACACAATGCGTCTTTGTCGGGGAAAACCCTGGAGGAGACAATGTAGCTGGATTTCAAACCCCCCCCCCACTGGTTCTGAAGAAGAGTCTCGGGTCAACGGCGGCACAGTTAACTTGCAGAAGAGGATTGAGAAGATTATGAAATTTGATTCAGAAGCAAAACTATTGTGCCATTTGAGATTAATGGGCCATTGGAGGGAGGTAAATGTTTGAAATTAGTGAATAAGTGTGAGAGTAAATATTTAATAAGAAAAGTCAGATGGCTGCCCGTTATGTCAGGCTGCATGTTCATTTAATGAAGTTAGATTCTTGGTTGAGGTAATTGTGGAATACTATTGAATAAAATGACCCAGTGACTGGAAATATGGAGTTACATTGATGAGATAGAAGAGAGTCGATGGATTAACAATATAATGTATAAAACACAAAGAGGACATATTTGCTTGTCTTTGCAACACAGATGACGCTATATAGCACATAGCATGTCTGAGTACAGGAAAGGAGAGAGCTGACTGACCTTCTGATCGAACTGTTGGAGCGCAATTTGACTTAGGAACGGTCAACAGGGACAGATCTACAGATTTGGGCGCTTTAATGTTATGCCGTGTACCTTTGTTATCTAATGCTGCATCGGTTTTACTGCAACATAATCTAATAACAGTACAGCATACAGTTGAAGTACCGGTGAGTTCCAAAGATAAAAACATCTCGTTGGCCTTTGGGGTAATTAAAGAAAGATAAATTGTATTATTCTATTGGTTAAACTGGAGGAAGACGACGTGTGTGATGGGCCGCTTTTGTCACAGCTGTAAATGTGCTTCTAGTGACCATCAAAGCTCCAGTGCACTCTTGGTTGCAGCGCAGACATGCAGTGCATCACACACTCGCCACAATGCCATGCTTGTTTTTATGTGCTAGGAGGTAGGGGGAGTTAGTATTAGCAATAGAGTTCAGGGGTTTAGTTACACTTTAACATGACCAAAGTGAGCCAAAATAAATTAAAGTCCACTTCCATCTTATGTGCTTTCTTTCATGGATGTACTCAGTCCTTTAACCAGTCTACAACCTGGTAAACATTAACTACTTGGGACCATGTGGAATATACAGCCAAGAAAGTGGGGGGAAGGTTTCTATAAATCTGAACTGTTTGGGGTTTAATGGTGCAGTGGAGGCAGCTCTAACGGGATATGAACTCTACAGAGATCTATTGTTCTGCCTGCGACCCCTCCCTCACATATCTAAAGAATGACATCAGCCCCTTCCTGATTCTTCACCATGTTAAGACCCTTCACCTCCCCCCTCTCCCTCCAAACCTACCCCTCCTCGCACACTCATGCCCTCACAGTCTCAGGAGTTTTGCTGGTGAGATTTGTCTTCCTACCTCTTGGAGTCAAATGTGACCTGAGAGTTTGTGAATGTTTTGTGTGAATGTGAACAACAATGTGTGTCCTGATCCAGAAAGGAACAAAACACAGTTGAAACTTTCAATCAAATCTTATGAAAAAGTTTTTTGCTTCAAGTTCATGTGATAGTAAAGAGCAGAGAGCATGCAGAGGCTCATTCCTGCCCCCTTTTACAGGCCTCCGTTCTACTTGCCTCATCTTCTAGTGGTTTCTTTTAACAGATTTTCTAAGAATCTGAAATATGAGGCTGGGATTGTCTGTGGACATCTACTATTGTACAGGACAGTAACATGCGAGAACCAGAAAAAAGAGGAAAACCTGGAAGTGGGGTGGGACTTAAATTCAGTCAGTCAAATTTTCAAATTCAATCCATGGATCAGTCTGACAGACAGTTCAAAGAACAATTTGGAGACTTCCTTTGGGTTAAGAGTCACAGTTCAAGGGTTGTCAACTTGCCAGTGGCTCCGCAGGCCACAGCAGATCAAAGGCAAGGTTGGGAGACTGGACAGACGCCACACCAAGACCCTGCCATGCCTTCCCAGCATGCCCGGTGTTTGACACCTCTGCCTCAGCCTATCAAAGCCTTGCCCCCAGGGTACACTGGTGAAACAGCAGGAGGCAAAATGCTCAGGAAGCCGCTTCCTTCCTGCCCGGCCCATCATCAAGTAAGAGGCTCCAGCCAGCCCAGCGCAGCTCTAACCAGCTGTGGTTGTCAGGAAAAAGCAGGGGCCAGGGCCCAAATATAAAACCTAATTCAGGGACAAACTAAGGGGAAAGAAGGAGGATGACGCTAAATGGATACAGCACCTGCATGGAGCAATCATCAGATGTGGGCCTTCAGGACCAGGAGACACGATGTCAGAGCTCTCTAGAGATGCTTAAATTAAGAAGCAAACTCAGCCTGACAGCAACAAACCAGAACATCAACATAAAATATCAGAGATCGTGGCCTCCCAGAAATATAGATTAATTAACTTTTCACCAATTATAGCTGAACTTCTTCTTCAATTTCTGTGATCAGCTGGAGACATCAGTGTTTGAGCTGGATGCTGCAGTACCGAGGTAAAAGAAGGGCGCCAGGTTGTAAAATTAGATCCAGTGTCTTGTGTAATAGCTATTCATAACTGCTTGACACTTTGAGAGCAGGCTACAGAGACGAAAACGATTGAATGCATACCCAGTGAAACACTAAAATAGACACGAGAAAAAATACAAAAAGGCTCTGTGCACAGGATCAAAAGGTAAGTTCTTCATAAACACATTTCTATGATTCCCCTTTGGTGTCCACAATGCAACAATCTTTGGTTCTACACCAAAACATTTGAAAATTAACCCCTCAGGGTTAAAGCATGTTAACATGTTCCAGATTTGACTTTAAAACCTGCAATAACTTGATTTTTTTTGGTCACTTGGGAGCATCGGAAACAATCTGTGAACACAACCACTGACATGTCATGACCTTTAAAGACGATATAGAAAACTAAGCTTTTTGCTCTGTTCCTGAGGGAAATATCTGTCTCTTTAGCTCCTAAATGCTCCAATATGTTCACTAGCTAGTCGCTAAATGTGTCTGTCTGTTGATGGGTGCTGAGCAGGTAGAGTACAGAGGGTTTTTTTTTTAACTGAAAACACTGTTAACCAAAGCAGTAAAGTTGCAGCTGAACAATGAGCTGAAACTCACTATGAAGCTCTGTAAAGTGAAGGAGAACTGCAGATTCAGGTGGTCATTCTCTGTAGGTAAGTGACCCCTTTCACATTGTTGAATTGTTCTCACTTTGTCACCTGATACATTGTTATTATAAATGTATCAGTTAAAGCTGCTACATGGTGCAAAAGAAAATGGACAATAAACTTTAAAGAAAGGAAAAGAGTAAAGGTGATAATTATAAATATTTAAAATTGATGGAAACTTGCAAACAAGACTGGATTATGTGTTATTCCCCCCATACATATAAATCTCTGCTCTACAGCGCAGTATAAAGGTGGTCCAGGTACAATTGTATTGTACTGTGCAGTATGTAGTATTTTACATATATGTAGTCTATAGCTGTTTTTCTGCTATAAAATGTTTGTTATAAACAGTGATGGCACTGATGGCAGTGATGGATGAACACGTTAGATACACACCCACATAATAAATATATATGCAGTTTTGTAAGGCACAGAGCTTGAAGTTAGCCTTAGCCTGTGGGACCGTTTCAGACTACAGATACGTACCGTTCCCACAAGTGGGAAGATGAAGCCGGCCCCAATGCTGGCACGCACATCTCTGATTGGCAAAGTGAATCCAGTGGGTGCACCCTTCTTGTCGGGCATGTGGGACAGGGACAGGTGAGTCTTGGCCATGCATATGGGCAATGAACCGTAGCCCTGGTTATAGGAAAAAGACAACAAGTGGTTAGTGTGTCTGAGTGAAAGTAAGAAAGGAAGTGAGACACTAAGAGAGAGAGAGAGAGAGAGGGGATGAGCAGCATGAGTCCTGTCAGTGAGTGAATCAGTTGTTATTGCAGCAGCAGTGATGTCACCTGTTGATTGTAGTAATCTATCTTGGCCTCGGCCTCTGGAGACAGCTCAATGTCATCAGCTCCATACACTTTCTGGGCGATTGTTCTGATCTTCTCAACTATCGGCATCTGTGGGAAAGACGGAGACACAGACAGGTGGAAACACATGAGCGCTCCAGTCAGAGGGACAGAATCAAGGAAATTAGATTTAGAGAATATACAATAAAGGTTAATAAAAGCCACAGAGAGCAAATTAAATAATTTAACTTCTATTGTTGGACTGCTTCCCTTAGTTCTCCTCTTCTTAAACCCTTTTGAAACATAGGGTGTGCTGCTCCATGGTGTTAACAGGGCCACACACCATATTAACCATTAACATATATAACTTGGATAAGTGAATTTGGAGATCTATCCAAAATTGAGAAATATTTTGTTCGTTATTCCATATTTGGGCTGCAGCTCGTCAGGGAATATCTTTTTTAAATACATCAAACTTTATGGTGCCAAAACTGCGGATCAGGACAGTTTAGATTTCCTTTGCGGCAGCCATAAGACCACAGAGGGCCATCACCTGCCCGGTGCTGAAATCAAGGAACAGCAGCTGGGATTTCCAAAGTAAAGGAAAACTGCAGTTTTTCTGTCTTGCCCAATGTTGGCGTGCTAGTTCACATGGAAAGTATCAGGGGTGGCTGCAGTCACATGCAACATATGCTGTGTTTTGGACTTAAACTACTTAAGTTTAAGGACCCTTGCAACTTACTTTCAGTGACCTTCCTCCTACCCCTACTCCACCTAGCTGCCATTGTGAACTTGGAATAATGTGAAGACTGAATACCTTCAATTTACTCATTTAACTGGACTTATTCTATAGTAGTGTGCAGGCACGTGCATATTGTAAAAAGGCGAACACATACACCAGTGGAACAGGATCAGTTAATGTAAGTCACAACTTCCTAAACTCACTAACTCAAACCAGCTGATATTTCTTTTTTTTAACTTCCACATTCCCTGGCTAGGGTCCCAAAGAAAACATCTTCATTTACTGCAAACAGAGAGCACTGTGACCGTAGGATTTGAGATATTGACAACTGTCTATCATACAGCAATAAAATAGTCATCAAACAGACTGACATGTCTTTAACTACAAACATATATTCCTAAAAGACCCAAAAATATGTTTTGCTTAGTGTTACTTGGATGATTGAGCTTCACTGTGCAGAAACAATATTTGTATATTTATTGATGCTGGATTTTTCTTTGAAGGAAAAGGACTAGATGTAATTTCTAACTGCGTGATTCAACGTTTCTGTGGACATATCAGACACAAATTATTATTCCAAGCTGAATATTTTTATGTCTTAAACACACAACATGCAGTTCTCACCTCTATGTTGTACAGGAACTGGAAGTTGCTTGGCCTGCTGGTAGCCTCATTCACAGCTTGGGCCAGCTCTAGGGAACCCCGCCCGCCCTGCGCCCAGTGGTGACACGGCACAGCGTCAGACGCTCCGCACTCTTTTGCTAGCTGACACACGAGGTCAATCTCTGCCTGGGTGTCTGTCCTAAAAGATCATCAAGGGAAACATTGTTAGCAGGACAAATTATGTATGTAACCAAAAATCGTGATTTTGTGGGCTTAAGGAATGTGTGGACTATCCCATTACTACTGTTAAAAAGGTCCAGTGTGTAGGATTCAGTGGCATCGAGCGGTGTAGCTGCTGATTGCAATGCTCTCGCCTCACCCTGCCAAGCATGTAGGAGAAACTAAAAACACACGACACCCCTATCTAGAGTTTCGTCTGTCTGTTCTGGGCTACTGTAGAAACATGGTTCAACATGGTGGCCTCCATGGAAGAGGACCTACTCTCTCTGGAGAAACGCTTATTATAAAGGTAACAAAAACACAATGATTCTTCTTTTCAGCTGATTATACACTAATGAAAACACACCTATGAATATTATATTGTATTTCTGCCAATAGAGCCTCCTAAATGTTACACACTGGACCTTTAGTCAAAAAATGTACTAAATATTATTTTAGTAAGTTGGTGACTGAAGTTAGGTTGTGTTTTTATGTCTGTGTGTGTGTGTGTCTGCACGCATCTCACTTGAACACATTGAGCGCTACCACAACTGGTACCCCAAACAGGTGTGCGATTTGGATCTGTTTCCTGAGATTGCTACGGCAACCACCTGCAACTAGGCTCAGATTCTAGAGGAGAAACAGACAGAAGAAACAAAGCAAAAGGTCAGAAACATATTAGTGTAACTGGAAAAACTATAAACTGAATCACCAATACAATGTATTAGAGCTGGCTGTCCACCAGAGCACATGATAGCCATCATGGCAAAACTTGTTCAGTTTCAGGATTTCTCACAGTCTGTAACATAGTTCATGGTTTTGTTCATTATTAGGCTCCATCAAAAAGCTAAAATTCTATGTAAATGGAAAAGAATGATACTAATACTGCTGAACTACTAAATATAGCAAGATGCAAAAAAACAACAAGAAAAGAAATGAGTGACTATGTCTGGCTTTCTCTCGCTCCTTGTTTCTTGTCACATCTCTACTGCCAACACGACAAAGGAAGATTAAAATGATTGAGACAATCTATGGAATTTGCACCCTAACAACATAAAACAATGTGTTAGTGTCACATTTGAAATGTCTATTGGCAGTATTCTTAAAGAAAACGAGTTGCTAAAAACCCAAATTGGTACGTGACTCAATACTGAGGACAGTTTAGGGGGGGAAAAAATACTAAAGACCTCAGCTTTTGCCTTCATTGCCAAGCAGTTTGCAGAGATATAATTTGAAGGGTATGACAGGAAATGCCCAAGTCCAGTGAAAGCTTACTTTAAATGGCTTCTCATTTCCTATTTACCAATTTAGCTGGAGTTGTCCAAACAAATTTATCACAATATATGACATTCACCTTGTGAGCAACAATTAGTTTTATTTCCCTGATGTGGTATACTGTTAACATTTAGAGTCATTATGCTTAGTGAGGTATTCTCAGGTCGGTCCACTTTAGCCAGGAGTGCCAAGCCGTGATGACAGCTTCAACTACAGTTACAGGAGACAGCCGAGCCGAGCTGCTGTGGTCCTGCTCGGTAAGCAGAGCTGACCACAGACAACTCGTGATGGGACTGAACTGAAAGGTGTTTTTAAATGTCTCTAAATGTCTTTTGTAGCCTCTACCTGAATCTCTGTGGTTTGGAATTTTATTTCAGCTCTGTGTTCCTGTTTGTACTTTCAGAACTGCCTTATAGTTCACGGGCCTGGACCAGAACAATACCTCCCCTTCTATGGAAAAACCCTCATACAATAAGACTGGTCGTATCCTACTGTGTCCTTTATCACTCTCACATTTAATACTACTATGTCCATAAGTCAAGTCGGTCCCAAGCACATTAGCAGCATATTGTGAAGCTACTCCAAGTTTGACCGCAGTAACCAAACCTTGCACCTTTTTTGGGGGGGGGGGGGTGTGTGTGTGTGTGTGTGTGTGTGTGTGTGTGTGCCTCAGGCTCAGAGCAGTAAGGCCATACAGGTCCCATAAATTCATTTCCCTGGCTCTGTTTTCCCCAGTACTTCTGGTTCTCGTTACAAGCGTCACAATTAATTTATATTGCTTCATTATTTACTCAGCTGAACCTGCTTGAAAGACAAGGAATTCTAACCAGATATGAACGTGAATACGCACAGACATACACACACACACCGACAGAATCCCACCTCCACTTTGCTAAGGCACAAGTACCCGGAAACCACGTGCAAAGGTTCTGTTTGTGCTGTTAATCAAATAAGTGCTTCTAACCACGTTAGTATTTATGCATATAGGCGGGGAATTAAATGTCCGAGTGAACACAGCTGGAGCTCTGCGGCAGATAGGTTGAATACAATCTGAAACTTCCTTTATTGCATCATACACAAATCTCTATAAATGTGTCAATTAATGGCTCATTTCCCAAGCCTTTCCTGGCTCATAGCGCACACACTTGGCCTAAAGGACAAACCCAGCATTAAGGATTTAAGTGATATGGAATATTGTGCAAACTGTGTTGCACCAGTATGTAAGTGTGCAGCAAGTCATCTCCATGCGACTCGTCTAGCCCGTCTACAGAAGGTCAGGGCTGTGAGAGATCCTAAGGGGATGTTGGGAATGTCGAGAGGCCACAAAGCTACACGAAGAGGACGCCGCTCATAGTTCTTCCATATCAGTTCACTCAAAAACACAACACACAGGCACACCACCAAACAGTGCTACGCTAATGAGCACGTGATTGCTTTATAATTGAAGCCTTGCATTGGTCAATGAGTTTAAGTAGCTTCAGTTTTCCTAGAAACATCCTGACCTTTGCAACTAAATGTAATAAAAACAAGCTCAGCCAATTATTGTAACATGATTGGAAGTGATGTCAGGAACCAGAAAACGTTAACGTGTCTGTCAGACCTCCCTCGTGTTTATCTTTATTTAAATCGCAGTGGAAGCACTTATTTTTGTGTATATTTGCTTGAATTTATGTATATATACGTGGCTCGTACCTCATCGATGTACTCTCTGGGAAGAGGCGCGCCTGCTGACACCTAAAAAACGCACAAAGAAAACAAATAATCAAATTATATCACAACCAATGTATTGTGTTACGTTTCTTGGACACATTAATGAATTTGTAATGCAGAACTGCTGTTTTCTTGACTTGTTCTTTTTAATGTTTCCAAGTAAAATCCTTCAAATACTGCTATTAATTGGGGCATTCATTTCAGTTAATGTGACCGATAAATTAATTTATTTATTCTATGCAGATTTCCATAATTGTTTTTAATTGTATGAATCATTCAAGTACATTTCTGGAGGAATGCACTAACATCTGCAGCCCGAGCTTTCAGAAATACAATCTTGTCCTTAAATGCCCCGTTTGTACTTAATGTTTGGAATGGGAGCTTACACTTTAGGTAATCCACATCATTGTTTCCCAACCTAGGCTCTTAGGATCTACACTGTAGGCAAGTCCACGTCCTGTGTATCAATTTGGGGGTTGAGAACTTACATTTGGGCCTCCACCGTGCATCTTTAACGCTCGCACAGTTGCAACCAGCACCACCACATTTGGCCTCAGCCCTGAAGCCCGACACTTGATGTTGAAAAACTTCTCCATCCCGATGTCTGCTCCAAAACCAGCTTCTGTCACTGCGAGGAAACAGAAAGGAAGTTTTTATAAATATAAATACAGATTTTTCCATCTTTTGTTTATGCTTAGGAATTATTAAATCGATGTTTGCACCAAATCACAACTTTAGCAGCAGCACTGGTAAGAAAAATAAAATAGGTAGTGAATGCTGGCATAGGTTTGAGCCAGTCATCTATCTACATTAATCTCTTTGTTTAATACCTTTTCACCTCAAAAACAACTTTGTTCACACACATGAGTTCAGCCAGACATCTTTAAAGAATCCTGTGAATAAGAGGAGAGTCTGACTGTGTTTCTGTCTGAACAGTAACACTGTACTGAGAAATAGGTGCACTGTGAGGGCTTTTTAAGAACAGACAGAGGGCCTCTGATATGAACAACGCTACACACAGGCCTCTTGAACAGGATCCAAACAAAGCAAATAGTCCACCTGGAATGACGGCCTTGTTAAGATAAGGTTTCCTGTTACTTGTTGTGTGTATGTGTGAGGGAGGGTGCGTATATGTGTGTGGCACCACTGTACTAAAACTAGAGGGAAGACTTAAGGTTGATTTCACACCTAACTTGTTTAGTGAGGTTTTAACAACTTCGGCTGTATTTTCCCAATTTAGTGCAGTCTGTTTAATCTGGTGGGAATAATAACATCACCGAAAAAAGCTGGGCTTTCAAAACTGCATCTAAATTTACACTTTATGTGACGTGACATACTTTTTCCATCAACTTTTGTTAGCCGTCAGTTATTATTTATTACAAATGAAGTCCAGTTTGCGTAACAAGCTTCACAAGCCTTTTGTGAACACCAGAAAGGACAAATAAAGCCTTCAACTTCATAGGAATAAAATTAGTTTTGACTTTCTCCAACAAGTCCATATAATGTCTAGACCACTCTACATCCAAGTGATACATTGGAAACAGCTGAACCCGAAGTAACCTCGAACTGAAATGCTAAATTAATCATTTTTGAGGGTATTTGGACCAAATAAACCACAAGTGTGGATGTTATAATGCGGTTTCAGGGTTCGCACTCTTTTTAAGAAATCATTTTCCAGGAAATTTTCCAGAAGTTTTTCTCGACAATTGAGGACAGTTCTTTGCTTTAAACAATATATTTTACTGGTAGGCCGAGCATTGACTTTAACTCCAGTTTTATGCTTCCTCTTTTAATGAGTGTTTCAGGTTCCTTTCGATGCCTGAAAGGATAGCTGCAAATCTGTTCCACTCCACGTCTGGACTAGACTGACTGACATGGCCGAAATTAAAAGGGAGTGTTTAAAACGTTTTTCTGTTCCGCTTCATGTTTGGTTAATCCACTTTGAAGTGTTAAACCGAGCAGCTACCGTTGAGTTTCAAACAAAATATGCACCTAGGTTTATGTAGTCGATCTGAGCAAGGGGCTAAAACACAATAAACATCTATCAGGACAATATAGATTATTTCCAGGAAATTTGGTCATTTTACTCAATTTCCAGGTGTTGCCATGCCTGGAAAACTAAAACCAAAACATGAATCTTACCTAAAAAGGTCAACTTCATATCCTAAGACCAATAAAACGTTTCCAAAATGAAATTGCTATAGTTGCTATATTTATTATTAGTTGCTATATTTATTAGAAAACTGTTGTGCTCGTTTGATACTTGAATCTTAGTTGTTTCAGCAGAGTACTCACTCAACCCTAGTAAACACTAAAAACAGAAAACAGTCAGTCAGAAAATAAGGTATTATAAAAGAAAACAGTCACTAGAGCCACATTCACAGTAAATCCCACTGAAATCAACAAGGAGATTCACAGAGAGAGAGAGAGAGAGAGAGAGAGAGGGTCAAGCATCGTACAGTTACGTAAGAACTACACAATGCTAAAGGGAAAAAGTGTGAAAGGGTGGTTCGGTTTAACAGAGGGTTTTGTATGAATATAATCATTTCATTATTGAGTTATATCCCAGTGGAGCATCAGTTGCTCACTACAACTGGGGAGTGGGCCAAAACTTTACTCACTCTGATCATTTTCCCTGAATTCACGGGGAAGTCCAGCGCAACTGTTTGCACCGGTGCACGTTATCAAATGCAAGGTCTAACCAGTTGCATTCACGTTCTGTCTGTCTAATCTACGTGGGCAGCCTTTGTACAGGACACAGTGACCAACAGCTAATCCTCTTAAACAGTTAATTCAATTAAAAAGGATAATAATGAAATGTGACTAGGAAGCATGTCGGGAAACAAATTAAATTAATGTGATATTTATGTGTACGCACAGATTTAATCTATATAGCGAATGCACACTTTATCGAGTGTCGTTAAGCTGTCACGGACACAAGAATGATTTGTATCAGTTTTATTAAAGACGATTATGTTATTGATTATAGGTGGCAAACTCAACAAAGAAGAAAATGACTAAATATATTCATTGTTTTTTTTAAAAGAGAACATTATACACTGCAGCTTATTGTGCTTGTGGCTGACACTTGATGAAGCACGCCTCTCCGAGGATTTAGTGAGAAAACAAGTGTTTCCAAGAAGAAATGTGTCACTCTGCTGTGTGCGGTTTCTCTGCATTACTAGTAAAAGTATGATTTATTTCACCAGAGACTCAAGAGTGAAAAGACTGCAAAGGAGGAGAGACAGAAAGAAAGAGAAAGCAAGTGAAAATTCAATTAGAAAGACAAGGATATCGTCTGGGGACGAGAAGAAGAGGAGAATAGTGAAAAGGAAACAAAAAAACCCTATTTTTTATTACTTTACAGTTTCTGGGAATATAAATGACAATGTTGATTTTAAGCAGAAATTGTTGTGGTGGTGGGGGGGGGGGTTTGGCTGCATCGTCTCTATCTTAACAAGTCTCTTTGTGCAAAGAGCAACAAATAAAGCCTGAGGGATGAGCACAAGAATATAACTACACTTTTGACCGCAGGCTGCTGACAGAGTGCAGTGTTTCTCGTTAGTGCCACACTTGAGATTCGGCTCTGAATACTGAACCAACCTGCCAATGAAAATCACATTCTTAGGTAAGGGGATTTTTGGATATTTCCATAACTCCTGTGATCTCCCACAGACTGAGCCCAGGACAACTCATGTCACAATAAGGCCGAGCAAAGCTATACAAAAACAAAGAGTATATAATGACAGCGAGTCCGACGTGGCTTTTACACCATGGCATTACACCAAGCAGGAGAATGACCCCAGAGGATGTCATGAGGAAACACTTGCATGCTTCCTGTTCTGTGCGACAACCTTGAACTGTCCCGAGAGCAAGAGGGGGAAGAAGAGGTCGACGTTGTTGCGAGTGAAAAGAGAGCAGAATGATGTAGTCAGAGCACTGGTATCAGCACCCCTGCCAATAAAAGCACTAATAAAATGGCTGGAAAGTAGGCTACATAAACATGACCATCTACTTCCCGTTAGAGCTTACCACAATAAGCCATGTTGTACTTGTGCTATTGATTATTTTCATTATTGTTAATCTGTTGTCTGTTATTATTTCAATGAATCAATCCTCCACTATTTTGCAGACCCTAAGGTGTTTTCAAATAGCTTGTTTTGTCCAACACAAAGATATTCAATTTACAATGATATATAACTTAGAAAAGAAACAAATATTTTAATTTGAAAAGGCCCCTTTTTCTGTACTTTTTTACAATCTTAAGATGTGGAATCAAAAAGCATGTATACCTTGAAATGTTTTAAATATTGAATGAATCCTAAATTTCTCAGAGGCTGGTTCTGTGTTGGTATGACCCAACTTTTGTATGTCGTACTGGTGACCAACATACAAACACATAGATCGATAAAACATTCAACCCACGTCTAATAGTACTTTTAGACTTAAGGTTTTTAAACCAAGCATAATGTAAAATGATGATATTCTGGAAATTATAAGGTTTAGTATAATTACATTGAATCATTTAAGTGAAACATGTGCACCTAAATGTGGTTAGTAGTTATAAAAGCCACAAGAACTAAATGAAGAGCCGAACTGAAAAAGAACTGGAACTCCTGTCACTTCTCTAAAAGCCCAAATGATGTGTTACTTTAGGTTTATGGGCGGCTTTGCAATGTGGGAAATCTACAGTATCAGCGGGTTATCGACATTCAGTACAGGTAAAGTACAGATACAGTAATCCCTCACATCTGGAATGTGGAATTCAACCCTCAGCAGCCCTTTCCAGTTTTTCTCCATTTTAAGTCCAGATTCCAAAGTGACTTGAAAAACCCACAATAATACAGAGCATGATGAAGCATAGCCACGACTGTTCATACGCCCGACCCACAACCCCCACCGAGTTCACCAAGAGTTCATGTTCTTCCCTTTGCCATGAGAGGAGCTTCCAGAGATAACTAAACTGAACTATATATTACTTACAATAAGGTGTGGTTACATCAGATTCAGTAATTCCAGTTTATTACAGTTTTGGTCTAATTGTTGTAGTTCTGGACATTATCTTATAATTATCCTGACTTTTTCTATAATAACATTGCACTCATCAAGTTGATTGCTGAGATCTGGGAATGCAGAGACAAAGACAAAAATAATAATGGGGAAAGAAACAATCAGGCGATCATTTCGTAATCCTAATGTTCCATATTGTAATTCTGTCATTTTGCCCAAACTTCCCTTGGAGGGCCAAAGCAAACACCTATTGTATTGTTAAGATGCAAAATGGTACTAGAATCCCAAGTTCCCTAAATCGACTGACTTCCTGAGTGTCACTCTGTTTTCACTGTGCTCAGGTTGTAATAATTACAGACACTTATTATAACTAATTACATTATCAGTTTGTCTTTGCTAGAAACATCTGACAGGCCTAATTGAAGCTTCTGGGCCACTTTGAGCAGCCAGGGTCTAATCTCTACACACAAACTGTATTGCATACACATCTGTCCTAGCGAAGGGATCCCTCCTCCCTGGCTCTTCTTGAGGTTTCTTGCTGGGTTTTTCTTTATCTAGTTGAGTCTCAGGATAAAAGGTGTAATATGCTGTATAAATTGTAAAGCCTCTTGAAGCAAATATGTGATTTGTGATATTGGGCGATATACATAAAACTGACTGATGCATTTATTGTTTTAGAAGCACTTCAGTGGAAACAAGCTATAAACAAGCAAGCATCTGCTTATTTACAAATCAAAACACACATGAAGCAACACTAGCATTCATTTGGAGTTGTGTTTCTGGCCTCCTGGCATACATAAGTCCATAGTTGGTTTTTAGAGCTTCTTTGCTGAAAAAAAACTGCCTGCTGTGTCTGGAAACAAGGTTGATGGGACCAGTGAGAGTGAACCAAAACAGTAAAGTTCTGAGCAGTGAAACCAAAACAATGAGCTGAAAGTCACCACCTACAGCTGTGGAGAACTTGGGGGGATGGTTTTCTGTGTGTTTGTCACTATGAGCGACCCCTTTTACATCACACACACACATTTGATTTATTGTTAATATAAAAATATTAATTAGAGCAGATTTAAAAAGAACTGCAGTTAGCCAAACTTATCTAGGAGAGAAAACAAGAGCAAAATGATAAAATGATTACACAAACAGTCCGTCCAGTTTTCCATGCGTAATGAGGGATTATTAAAGTCCTTTTGAGTGCGCTTTCCGTTTCACCTCCAAATAAAGGCGTTCAGACAGTCTATCTAAACTAACAGCGTATGGTCTGACAGCTCACTCCTTGTCCTGTCAGACTTTGTTAGGACGTCATCATGTTTCACGATCTTAGCAATTACTTTGGTGAGTACAATGTTTTCATAACCAGTAAAAATGACCAAAAAGGAAGAAAAGAAAAACAGGATTATTCTTTAACTTAATTAAAAAACTAGATCAAACAAAAAGATGACTAGTTGTTCCAGACTGTATGTGCAGAAATATTAATTTTCCTAACTCCGCTGTCAAGTTACTGTTCTTTTATGTGGTGCCAGTTAAAAGAAGTCAAAGTTTGTAGCATCAGAGAAAATATCTTGAGAGAGATGAAGGGAGCGAGGGGGGTCGAGGGGGGGGTACATGCATCCCAGCTGCCGAAGGAGGAAAATAGGAGGGAGGTCGAGTTCCTAGCATACCTGAGAGTCAGGTAACAAACACACAGACAGGGAAGGGAGGGTACGAGATGGACAGATGGAAAACAAAGCGGGGTGTAGAGGTGGAGGTATAAAACGCATACAAGGCTTCCTGATACTCTGCTCCAGTGTTGTGAAACCCAACTCTCTGCTCACGCTGCCTACACATTTGCCCAGCTCACAGATGACAGCCTGTCTCATAAGGAAAACCCCCATCTCACAGCGGGAGTGGCGTGTACATCAAATGCACCTGACAAACCCCACAAACTCAACAACACACACTCGTACATTCCACACATATTTCTGCAGCCAAAGTAAATGAAAACAGAAAGAGAGCAGTGGGAAAGATAGACAGATAAAAAGGGAAGTACTCAAGTATGCTTTGACGTTGGAGGGATTAGTGTGGTTTACTCTAAAGCATTCCAGGGGCTCTTAAGATTATCAATCAGCTTCCTTCCTCTCTGTCCTGTGTTTTTTTACGCAATCTTTCCACCAGTTTCCTAGAAAGTTACGCAGCAGCAAGACATCACAGCAGCACACCAGTCGGTCAGAGGCACGTAGAACAGAGCCAGAACCAGAACTGAGATGAATGTAGGCCAAAGGTTATAACAGCAGGGGAGCAAGCTTAAGTTCACGACTGGAGTAAATAGTAAATTTTACAGTACATTTATTCTGCCCTGCTAAGGAAGAATATGCCTGAAATTCCTCCACATCTGGGTCTGTCATCTCCAGAGGTGTTGTGGCTGTGCATCTGCCTTGTCTTGTGTAAGTGTGTGTGTGTGTGTGTGTGTGTGTGTGTGTGTGTGTGTGTGTGTCTCATCTGTATGCTTGGACTGAGTGCACTTACCCACAAAGCCGTTCCGTCCAACCAACTTCAAAGCCAGCTTGTCCGCCAGCACCGAGGAGTTGCCATGGGCGATGTTGGCAAAGGGCCCAGCGTGGACAAACACTGGCGTACCCTGCAACAATCGGAGGGGCACACAAACATGCAGGAGGAGTTGAGAAAACAGCGTAACCCAAGGCAAACTCACCCGACCAAGTTTCAATAAGGGCTAACCAGCTCTTTCATACTACGTTAAACATCTTTCAGAAACACCCAGGATAAATATTGAAGTGTGGATGCTCTTTGGTTGGCACTGTGTGTCTAAACAGTAGGCACAAGTAAAGAGGTACTCGACTGGCACGCCAGCCGGACTGTGGGCCAGGCTTCCTTCCCCCTGCTGATTTGGCCGGACACACACACACATGAACTAAAAGAGCACATTAAGTGTCTTGCCAGTACAATTACTTTTAGATGATATTTACAACACAACTCTGAACAATACTGCTATAAACATATCATATGCTCAGTATAGATACATTAAATAAAGGTGAAAAGGTATCATTTTTAAAAGCAGAGTTTTGACAGTGAGGCCTCGTAGTTTAAAATGTTTATGCTGAATTCAACCTTGCTAGTATCATGAGTTCAGAAGATCTACCTCTATATCTGGAATAATTACTTAAATCTTAAAATAAATTAAACATGGGTCGAAATATGGTAATTTCCAAGAGAGAAATTAGCTCAAGCAGAGGATGGAAGGCAGTGTATGTGGACATGTATCCATATTTAGGAGTACTGGGGAAAAGTTGCTCATAAACTAAACCAAACAGTGCTGCAACATTCGTCCTGAATTATTCCGAGATATTTTGCTGTGAATGCAGCTTAACAAGACAGGGCATCTAAGGGTACAGTTGCCAAGGAAAGGTCTACTCCTCAACATCACAATGCACTCATGACAGACTTTAAAAAAGGAACTGAGAAATCTGAAGAAGAAAATGCCAACTGACCCATTGTTACACTGCATGTGAATTCCTTGAGTGGGAGGAAATGGGAAGGATGGGAAGGACTTGCATGATTTTCTAAGCTTTTGTTTGCATACCTCTCCCTCTGCTTGCATAAACAGCCTCCCCTCGGAGGACTAAATCAGCCATTCAACAAGGCTCTGACGAACGCTGCCGCTTGTCTATTTGTCTCTGTAAACTAGTAGTACAGATTATCATCAGCAGCATCTGACTGCATCAGAAAAGGAGAAAAAGAGGGCACAATATAACAACAACACATCCTTCAGTAGAGATATCGATTCAATCACACGTTCATTTGTTTATTGCAATGGACACACGTCATACATCTCATGGGTTTCCATGTGTGTTTGCGACTCCTGAACTTTAACTTGACCCACTTCACACCTCAAACTCTTTCCACATCCGTACATGAGGGGAAGTGATTCAGGACATTAAATGGTGATGAAAGTGGAAATAAATGAAAAGTCGAGTCAAGGGTGTCACCTCTTCAACTGGTGGACAGGAGGATTATGAAAACTGGAGAAACGACCGAAAACAGGAAGATGGAGATCATGTCACCGTTTCCTCTTCTTGTGCATCTCCAGTGCATCTGTCCACTACACCAGTTGCAGACCAGTTGCACACCAATAAAATGTTCCCAGTCTAGATTTTCAGACAAAAATTCAAGCCTGAGAGCCCCTGACTGTCTCTCTATGTTATTGTCTGCCTTTCCCTGGGAAAGATGCATGGAGTTGGTTCAGTGAAACTCCACGTAGACAGGATGTTTGAAAAACTCACAGAATGACTGAGGTCTGCTTAACAGACACGTACATAGCGAGTGAGTTCAAAAACTATCCCTCTTCCTCTTTGGCTACGTCCCATCCAAACCCTGCCTCATCTGAAACAACACAGAAATACATGCTCTAACACACACACTAGCTTCCATATACCAACTCTGTTCTCTCCTGCCTGTGTTCAAAACACGCAATCACAAGCGATGAGGGCATAAAGGGCACAGGCGGTCAAGCTCGATGGAAAGTTCTCATGGAGCTTTGAGGCCCAATCGGTCCCAATTCCAGGTCCCTGACCAGAATCACAGGAAACCCACACAGGAAATGGTTTCACACAACAGGGCCGCAATGCTTCCTCCAAAAAAACAGAATGTAACCAAATCTCTGCTGCATGCAGCACTCCACCCCCTCTACACCCTTCAAAACACCCAGTCTGTGTTTATTTTCCCCACCCAATAGCCATGTAATCAAGCTTTCTGTTCAAAACCAACAAAAGGACAAACAAACGAAAAATAGCCCTACAAGAAAAACACAAAGCTGTTAGCAGAAGCATGACTGCTAACATTGTGCTCCTTGTAAACTGTAATGACTTAAATCAGACCAACAGGAAATTACACCAAACAGCAAACCCTTGACCCACCACCCAGTGTCTCAGGCTCAAAGTGAGAAATGCCCACAGTGAGAGTGTCTACATCAAATATAAACCTCCATGTACAGACTCCAGCACAAGACACCACAATGATAGATAAAGATAAAGATGAAGAAGAATGTTTTTTAGTTCACAGTCCTATTGTATGCCTACTCACACAATGTGCACAGGAAGTAAATGATACCATCCCCAAGGTTAATTAAAGTCTACATCGTCATCCGTTAATGGGCCAGCTTTCTATACATCTTTCTTTCTTTTAAGTGGGCTTTGGCTGTACCATAAAAAAGGTCCAAATATTAAGACTATATGTTAATTCAGGCTATTAAATCTCCAGTCCTCCATCCATCACTTTGAGGATTTGGCTTTTTCCTCTAGCACAGGGACAGCTTTGGGTCACTGATGGTATATGTACATGTGCGCGTTTGTGTCTGTGCGATCACGTCCATTTGTCTTACTGTAATGTCTCAAAATCAGAATGAAAGCCAGATGTTGTGCGAGCACAGTTGTGACATAAGTCGTCACACCAGATATCAAACTGTTTCCATGAGACGGTATGAATCTGGATGGGCTGGCCTGTTGTCTGACAGCTCCACCTGCCCTCTACACACTGCTAAACTGCTATTAAGATAAAAACGCCAGGGGAGGAAAAGGTCAATCTATCATCCTTTCTTAAAAGCTCTCAGCGGAGCACTCTCTCCTTCTTTCTTTTCTCTTTTGACAGCTGAGGTAGAGGTACTGCAAGTCTAGTGCGCACTTTCAATGTCCCTGTGGACTGCCAACCTATTTATTGTACACGATATTCACCAGAAGACGCTCAGTTGAAGAGGGTAATGACTATTTAAGTAGGGTCATGTGCGTGTCTCACCTCGAGGGTCTGCATCATCGTGGGCTTGATGGCATCTTTCATTAACACCGCCAGAGCTCCACTCACACCCTGAGAGGGAGGAAGAAAGAAATATGAGGGAGGTGGTTGGAAACAAGAACAATTCATCAGGATTCAGACAGACATTTAACCTCACTAATGCAAACAACTGATATTTATGTAAAGAATGGTTAAATGGTTGTCTACCACAGGAGATGAATGGCACTACAGCCCATTTGTAGGTCTCTCTCCTTGCTCTAACACTGCAATTTAAGCTTTCTTTAAAAAAATATGCCCTGTCAGCAACCTGAACACACATATACTATACACCATATTCTCACTGGGACTGGCTCTGAGGTGTGGTGATGTTTTTGCATCCAGACTAATCAGAAAGACTAGTGTAACTTTATAGGGGATCCTCCTCTACGGCTCTGAAACAACACTGCAGTCTTCTGTGGGAAACCAGAGCCAGCTGACCCCACAGATGGATCTAGTGAGAGGTGCAAAAACTCTGCTTAACATCGTAATCGCAGGTTACACCTACATTAGACATGTTTTTTTTGAAGAAGCAAAGTGGTGGAAGTGGGGATTTGGACATTTTTAAGCCGCGTGTTTGACACATAATTGCAGAAAGGGAAGCAGAGACTGAATGATGACAATGAGGAGTCGTGTTTTGTACGTGTGTCGCCAAAAAAAGATTCCATTTGGTACTAAATGTGATGTATGTGTTGTTGTGATTCCCTGGGTTGGAAAAAAAGCAGAATTCACACCAGCACAGGTTTCCCTGCCAAAAATGTAGGACAGTTTGATACGTAACACACCTAAACTTCACACTCGCATGATAATGACAGAGAATGTTATCATTTATCTGAACTGAGGAGGAGAAAACTGGAATTGACTGAATAATTTGATTGTGTGAAGTCTGAGATGTAGTCATGATAAGCCAACAGGGAGATTTGTCAGGTTTAAAATTCCCACACTCTCCGAATCAAAGGACCACACAGTAACACACACCAGGTCCTCTGCAGTGATGGGCTGTCCGGAGCGGCTGGTCCCCACCACCATGCGGGCCAGTCTGTTTTTCATGTCCTCCAGGCTGTCTGCCAGAGCCAGGATGGCCATGATCTCGCTGGCCACTGCAATGTCGAACCCGGTCTGGAGTGTGAGAAAAGGAAAATCATACACAATGTAAACCACAAGGGCAACAAATTGAAGTACTTGTTCAGTGGCGTGCAGCTGGTGGATCTGTGAACATTCAGTGTGATGCAAATCGATGTGTTTATACTAAAGTAAATGTGGCTGTTTAAAAAAAGTGGTGACTGCTTTGTAAAGAATAATAATTTTGAAAGTTAATGAAACGTCTCATCCCTGACTCACATTATAAGACCACAGTGTGGGAAGAAAACTGGCAACTTTCCACAGTGACTGGCAGACAAGAGATTATCTACACACCATAGTCACCAGCTTTATCACATGGGCAAGACAATACAAGTCTTATGAACACGACCTAGTTTTGGAGTGATGACTTAGGATAAGAAATTAAATTATAAACATGTTGAACTCATTTTTGATGTAGCTTTCTGTATTGATTTATGTCAGACTAACAGAAAAAGAGACTGAGAAAACGACTGAATGTGGGCTATCCACAGGGAAGAATATGGAAAACCAAAGTAGTCTCCGTTCCACGTCACCACAAAAAAAAGAAACATAACTTAAACCACATCAATCCACCAAGGAACACAACATTTCTATTCCCATTCCCAGTGATAATACCCTGAGGGGCTATAGTGTATCCAGTGCTAGAGGAAGGTGGAGGACAGAGGAAGGGAAAGGGAAACAGAATGGATGAACTGATGGCTTTAAATGTAAGCATATGCTAAACTAGCTCAGAGGCTGTTCCAGGTGTGTGTGTGTGTGTGTGTGTGTGTGTGTGTGTGTGTGTGTGTGTGTGTGTGTGGAAGGGTGGGTCATTTTTCTCCTTCTTTAAACATTTGCTTTCACTTAGGCCTGCTTGCTTCCCATTGAGGTGAAGTGTTTATTTACAGGATTTCATTCAGCTGTCATTACTACAGACATATGGGTGAGATACATCTGGGCTTTATCATGGAGAGAAGAGGGGATGAAGCAGAGAACGTCTGTGTGTATGCATGGGAAAGTTTTAGTGTACAAGTACCTAAAAATGCAGGCATCTCAAGCCACCGTAATAATAGTACTAGTAAGATCAGATAAATGTTAATGCCCCCCACCAGTAAAGTCTTTGTGATGGAAACCCTGCAGTTATATCAGTGTTTGTCAAACTGAGACAAATGAGAAAATGTTTGCAATGAACAGGAATGTAAAATACTCCAAAACTGATACTGCAGAAGCATTCATATTCTGGTTATTGTATATATACACAAACTTAGCAGGTGGGTGAAAAAACATTTTAAAAAGAACGTCATACATTCAGAAGAAACAAGATTGTGAAGGCATGAATGCTGCATACCTCTCTTATCATGCCTTTTTCCGTGCTTGCCTGTCCAACTGTGATCTTCCTCAAGAAACGGTCATTTGTGTCAACAACTGAAAAACAAAGACAAAAACTTTGAGCATGGCAGCTGGCATAGCATTAATGACAGGCAAAACCCATTAAATATAGTAGTAAAAATATAACAATATGATACCTCAGACACACAAAAGATTTATGGCTTTATGGCCTGAACCTGACTGACTGTAAAAATCAATTTTCACACCTTGTTAAATAGACACAATATGCAAATGTGCACCCGCAAGCTCGCACATACACAAATAAAACCCAATAACTGACAAGAAGAGAGATCCTTATCTCTTGTTGTGAGTAGGTGCTGACACACTGAAAGTGCTTATGCTACGAGGGATTTGCTACTTAAAGTTTATTCACTCAGCACTTAGCCTATTCTCTGATAATGTGGCCAGAAATGAGTTAGTCTGTGGTTATACAGGAAACCATGCTAGTCAAACATTATCCTTGTGTTGGTCTGAAGGGGAAAGACATAAAAACATGGTTTGTGTCATGAGCAGAGACACACGGTCACACCCATGTAACATTAGGTGGTAAATGTGTTTTTAATCTCCAGGGTTCGGCTTTTAAGAATGCCCTCTGGAGCCACTGGAGTAAATACCACATCAGTCATAGCAGCACCCGGCTGGTCGTTCTCACTGACAACTTTAAACCAACACATCCACCACTGAGGTTACTGTTCCCACTCCTAACATACCCACATTTATTATCCTGTGACTCTTGAGTGCAATACTTTTACACTGGATGCGTTAATTCAATATAAATACAAGGGCCAGAAATAGTTGTTTAGCTAAACTTCACTGAGGAGAATACCAACACATTGCAGTGAAGACTTATTTTAGAATTAGGAAATCCAGTTTAATTCAAGATTGCATGTGACATTCCTTAGTCGTGGCACAATAAAAATGTTTTTTGGATCATGGGATGTTTGTCAAAGCTTTTCTCTTATAAATTAGATTTGTGTGATAGTCATGATATTGACTTTGATCATGTATCTGGTCTTGCAGAAAATCCTACTGGGTGTTGTATAACAAGCATTTTCATTTAATTCTCAAAGGAAATTATTTTGTGAAACATGAAATCAAACATAAAATTTCATATAATTGTTCCACCTAAAATATCTCTAACATTAGTATTTTAGTAAATAACACATCACGCTGCCTGTTATGTGGATAATACTGGCACTGTGTACCAGCAACGACAAGGTAAAAGCTTTTTGCTGTAGTTTAAATATGTGTAAAGATGAAGCTTCAGTCTATGCGTTTGTGGCCAAACTACGTGGACCAATCAACATCCTGTACTGGCGGTGATGATGGTGGATGGATAAAGGTTAGCGTAGATGCTGCTGGATTCAGTTATATGAGAACTGGAGAGCAAATCTTAATCGAAAGAAGAGCAAAGAACGACACTGAAGACTTTTATCGATGGAAAAGATGTTTTCGCTGACTTCAGTAAGAGTTTGACTACATTATATAGTCCGTTGATTTGATTGGTTAAAACTGTGATAGACGGTGACAGTTCTTCCAATCACCTGCCGAATACTTTTTGAAAGCGACTGCCCTTTTCCAAACAGTTTCCAGCAACAATTTCCCAGATGGTTCTGTGTGACAAACCCTCTGGTGCAGTCAGGTTAGGTTTTATGTGAAGAAGCAAAGAATGACAGACTGGATCAAGAAGCAGTTCAAATCCTACTGAATATTTCATACATACACGTCGTCCTTCTGCAGTTTGGTCTATGGGGAAAAAAAACTACAATAAAAGGCTGAATTTCAGTGGTATTACCTTTCAGTGTTAGAAACCAGAAAAAAGATTTACAGAGTGATTTGCTATAATTCTATAAATACCTCTCTGCCAGGTGATCTTGGAAGGGTCAAGGTCAAGACGGACAAAGGTGCTGACTTCCTGGGGGGTGAGAGATGCCGGGTCTGTTTTATTGATCCCTAGACGCTGGAATCGAAGAGAGACAGAATATTAGAGCAGAGTTTCTCAAACCTTTTACACCGCGTACCATAATGACCAACATTTAGATACAGTAGCCATGGCCTGCCCTATTGAGGTACAGACAGTGGACGCACAAGGCAGGTTTATTCCTAGTCAGGAGATTATACATTGTTGACTCTTTAACACAGCTCTCACACAGAGGAAGGTATAACTAAACATGGATGTGCACTACGTGTATGAACGTGACTACGTAGCAGGCTGATATTCAAACAAAAATATTACAGGAAAGGCCAAACCAGTGGATTAGAGGACCATCTGTGCGTGTTTCTGGAGAAGTTCTGCTTTAGGTCCACATGTGCCCACATTTCGGTCCCAGCTGTGGCACTACAGCTATTATCATTAGATATTTTATGATAATCTGACTAATTTATATATTCTGTTTTAGTAGTGGATTTTTTTCTTGCTATGTCCTTACCAGCTGGACACATTATCATCCTGGCATTTAAAAGTGAATCTAGAATAAATGACTAAGAGGCCATCAGCTCACTGTCAGGTTTAAAAGGTTCACTGGGAAGTGCTCTGTTAAAAAAAAAAAAAAAAAACAACCACACACACAACTCTCACTCTATCCACCAAGACCAATAAATATTTTATAGTCCTTTTAACTTCTCATCCCAGCTACTTTAATACAACAGGACAGACAACAGACTTATGTTCAGACTTCTCCATCCTATGTCTACAACATAATTTTATCTGTTTGGACTTTATTAGGCGTTCTTCATCAACACAACATAAAACAGCATTACTCACAGACATATAAACACATTCATGAGGTATACACAAGTATTTGGAGACGAGGACATAGTGGAGGGAAGGAGAATAATTTTAAGGTAGGCTCACTGAGGCCCCCTAGTGGGCAAAGGCATTTTTTATATAACAATTCTTTTGGCTCATAATGATTGATGACACTGGTGATTCTGGCACTGCAGTGTTTAGACTTACGTTTAGCCTGGAGATCTGGATGGGTGAAAATCTTCTGACTCCATTCACTGAAGGGACCAATCTATTGAAAAGGGCCTATCGGGTAGAAGACAAAACAATTACGTTAAATATATGTGTGCATATCATGCATATAAAGTATATTTAATTGCACCTTGGAGGGCAATTACTTTTTCTTTTCTTGAATAGATCACACTGAATAGACAATCACACAAAAAAAAGCTGCAGAGTGATGTCATGGTTGTGACTGGTAAATGTAATTGGGACATAAAAGGCACGCTCTTACATAGAATAAGCTTAAAATTAGGTTTCCCAGTGAATACTTAGTGTTAGATTGTAGTATGTTCATGTGTGGTGAACCAAAATCAGGACTATAAACCTAATCATATACCGTTGTCTGTTGTAATTTATATTTATGCAATTAATATCTGGAATAATCACATAAAAATTTACTAAAATACTTAATTAAGAAAGTCACTAGTGATAATAATTAACAAAATACAGAATAAAACACTGAGAATAATAAATTTAAACAGCAAATCACATTTGGAATTTTCTGCTAAATCAGATTTATCATTATAGTACCATCCAAAATAACAACTTCCTATTTTTGGTGGAGTAAGAATAAGTTATTAGTGAGTGACATCAAGACACGGTCACCTTGTCTGATTGCGTCGCCTCATGGAGCATCCTGGCATCGATGGCTGCTGCCACCAGGTTATTGGCAGCTGTGATGGCATGAATGTCACCAGTCAGATGGAGGTTGAACTGAAAGAAGAAGAATAAACAGAAAGAGAAAGAAAAAGAAAAGCATTATTACTGTAATGTTGGTGTACACACTGCTGGTTTGAATGGCCCCAGTGGAAATAAAACCTCTAACAAAGCCATGGTCTCATGTCCCCTAGGTCTTTAAAAATATTATGACACATATACTTTCTTTTTGGCAAGAGCCCTTCGATTTAAAGGAAATGAAACATTGTGAAGAAGTAAGAAGAAAAAGGAAAAGGCTGAAAACAGCTGGTGTTTTGGTTTGAGAAAAGGAGGCTGTCTTATTAAAGGCTATGTGTCGAAGCTTCAAAACCCCAAGTCTCCTTCCCTCTTCCCTCTCCCCCCTCCCTCCCTGCTTTTACAGACAGTGCCTTTAGTCACAGGCAATATTATGGCACAGCTCCAGGGGTTGCGTGTGTGCGTGTGTGTGCATTGCTATGTTTTCATGCAAACTAGTGTGAGTCTCTGCATGTCTTTAGTTCTTTGAAGACTGTAATAGTCCTGCTAGGGAGCACCGAGAGTGTCTGTGTGTCTTACCTCCTCCATAGGGATGACCTGGGCATATCCCCCTCCTGCAGCTCCCCCTATGCACAAAGAAGAGGTAGCACAGTCAGAGGCAGACAAACAGGACAGGGACACACAAAGGAGGAATGCTGAGTGGACTCTGAGTGAACTACCCCACCCCTGCACAAAATGTAGCAGGGTATGAAATGCTAGCCTCATGCTGGTAAAGATAGCTTATCACGCAGTTACTTGATACATTCCTAACTGCTGGTTTGGGCGCCTGTCTCTGGCCACGTCCAAATCCCACTCAATATATTCAATTGGAAAAAGAAACAAGAGGTTCATTCCAAAATAACACGCACCATTTGAAACAGTTTGGCATCTTTTGTATCATGAAAACACATCTACTTCAAGAATGTAACTGCAATTGTATCCATTGGAATAGTTTTCTTACAAAATAGAGTTTTAGAGTTTTGAATATCTTCAAAAGAGCACAGAGAGGTCAAAGCATACTTTTCAGACAAGATATGCAAGTTGCAATTCTGCACAAGGAGGAAGAAGTATTCATTGCTGACCTTTAACCCCGAATGTGGGTCCCTGGGAAGGCTGTCGGAGACAGGCGAAGGAGTTGAGCTTAAGGTGGGCAGACAGGGCCTGGACGAGGCCGATGGTCACTGTGCTTTTACCTTCGCCCAGTGGGGTGGGAGTTATACTAGACACACAGAAAAAGACAACACATTTTTTAGTATCTTATGGTGTGCAAAATAAGACTGGGTCAAACAACTGGTGCATATAATTGCAAATGAATATTCAGAAATAAACCACAAACTGTGTCCAATATATCTCTTTAAGCTAATACCATAAAGGAAGCCAGGATAGAGTGACTGCTTGGCCCTTTTTTTTGGTTTTATGTCACACAGGGGCACTAGAGAGCACTGAAGGAATATGACAATTAAGAAGAAAAAGGATTCAGGCGACTGCTAATTCATACTCACCCAGCAACCAGTACATATTTCCCATCGGGCTGTGTGTGGAGGCGGTCTAACAGGGAGAGTTGGACCTTAGCTTTGCTCCTGCCATAGGCTTCAAGCTCTTCTGGCAGCACACCAATCTCTGCAGCCAGTTGGTCCACTGGCTTAGGTGTCTGAGCTCTAGAAATCTCTATGTCACTGATGAACACAGAAAAACATGACTTTCAGCACTCAGATTTCATTTTAAAGCGTCAGATATGTGGACAATGTCTGTTACAAACCACACTCCCATATTCATATAACATTCAAGTGTGGTGCAGGTGCGACTTAGAGAACAGTATGACATGAGAAACAGACCCTATGTCCGGGTAGATGTAGTTAAACACAACACAGATAGTGGTCTATACCTTGGTACAGGGGTCAGGGGCTGCAGTTTGAGGCTGCGCAGATGCCAGGGTCGGTACTGCTGCTCCTGGAACCACCGACTGCAATTATGCACCACATTCTAGTAGCAAAAAGGAGGGACGGAGAGAACAAGGTAAAAAAGACATTGAAGACAGAATAGAGGGAAACCAATGGGGCGAGAACAGAGGCAGAAACAAAGAGACAGACCTGTGTTCTATAAGCTGCTGTGAGGTATCCTAACCCAGACTTTGAGAACATCTCAATGGCATCTAAAACAAGAAATAGTATGATTAATCCACATGTTGAGTTGAAACATGCATCACTGGTCTTTGTTAGTCAGCTAAAACCTCATTGAATAAAATGTCGTGTGATTCCTTTTTCAATACAACTGAAGCACGTGGAGAGTGATTGTGATGACTATCACAGTATATGTAACAATACCTGTCTCCAGCGAAGGCTGACAGCGGATGACCGCAGCTCCTGGTCTAACCCAGCTGGGTGGGACATCTATGGTCCCTGCCCCTAACAGGACCAGAGCATCAGCCTGCATCACCTAAGAAATAAGGAATGAAGAAAAAATTAGATACAAAACATTTTAAAAAACAGGAAAGTATTAAATAGATATAGATATGGGATAAATCAAAAAAACTTAATTGAAGAAAATTGTAGAGTGCAGGAGGTTGCAAAGTGTAGAAGATGTTATAAACAACTTTCATGACAAATTAACCTGAACAACTTCTTCAAATGTGGGAAAAAAAAGATAAAGCTTTGTAAACAGCATAGCTCTGTTACAACTTTATTGACATTGCATTTGAAGAGCAGAGACTGACTCCATGTGGTCAGCCACTAAAACTGCACATACTGTAACTAGTGCAACTGAATAATGATAACAGATGGTTGAGTTTTTGGAGCATAGGAAGAGAATAAAGACGTCTCAGTTATAAAACAATGGCATTAGTGCTTTCAAACAAATAATTATCAAAACATTGATAATTGAACACACTCAAAACCAAAAATATGTCATGGACTAAACAAACTTTGTACAACCACAGCACCTTTTCAAGTCTACTGGGGGTGCCACACCAGTACCACCACACAAACACACCTGTCTCTGTAGGCTCTTGGAGCTCCAATGACTCTTAAAAACTACCATTCCTCTTCTTTCAATCAGGCACTGCAGGGCCACTCCAAGGGATCCTTCTCCTCCAACCAGCAACACAGTTTTTCCTTCCAAAGAAGTGTCTGTAGGAATGTTTTAATGCAACATTAGGACATTCTTCATTCATGACGTGCTTTATGTGCACGAGTGACCCAACTGTCACCGTGGTCCACATTTCAGCTACAGTTGAGCCCATTTAGGTGAGTGTTCATGATGCCTATTAAAATGCTGACCATCTGGACATGGACGCATACCAATCGTAAGTGGGTGTTTAATAGCTTTGTGCAATACTGTGGTCATATTTACAATGTGGTACATTTTCAAATCTAATGCCCATACACTTTATATTTTGAAATAAATCACCATATACTACTGCAAATGGACAAACATCACTTTCAAGACCTGTGTGTTGAGAAACTGCACCACATGTTACTGAATCTCTACTAGTTGTAACAGGGACACTCAGAATAACTGTGACCCTATGGACAACTTTGACCCCTCCCCTCTAAACCCCAGGGTGTGTCTCAAATTGGTCCCCACTTCAGTAGTTAACCTGTTGAGTAAGCCTTTTCCCTTGTGTCTCCCAACACATAAATCTTTGTGTTGCACTGGAGTTTTATGTCCTTACATAATTCCCAAAATGTATTCTAAAAACTGAGAATACTAAAATCATGCCATTTTCACGTCATACATAAAGTGTGTCCCCATTCTTTACTATACACTCATTTAAATCAGGTTTTAATCACATGATGTGTTCATACTGAAAAAAAAAAAAACAAAGTATACAATATCCTGCTTGCCTTTTGTTTGTTTGTTAAATTGTCCTGTTTGAAATTGGCAAAGGTTCACTAAGTTGTACTACACTTGACATTCATTAACACACAGTATAGTATCATTCTCTGCTCGTACATAACAGTGAAGTGCCTTAATTTCTTACATACTAAATGCAAAGAAATATAATAATAAATTAGATAAGATTTAATAAGATACAGTAGCATATACTTTATAGTACTAGTAAAATGTATAGAAATGGTTAACACACGTACAATGTCAGAAATTACTCAGGTAATGAATGTACGACCCACAACCTACTCAAAACAGTTCGAATTAGTCTTTACTATGCATTGGGGACACAGGGACATTGTCACAGCTGAATCTAATTAGTAACGAGTAGGAACTGGTGTGCCACAATAATACTAACTGTCAGTGTTATTATTACTTATACTGTAGTACAGTAATCAAACTCACTCATTACCTGTTAGCTACACTTGTGTTTTCCATGCTGTGACAACTCTGAGAAGAACAGCCGCTACGTATGTACAGCTACATATATAAAAGTATGGGCATGGTTTATCCATTCTTAGAAACTCACCGTGTTTCTCCAGCAGATCCAGGACAGCGTTGGCTATGGGTGGAACAAAGCCTTTGCTGAGGTCTCCTCGAACCAGACGGCCCATATTCAAATCTGATATCCTACAACAAGATATAAATATAATCCATTTTTAATATATAAATACATCAGAATGAATAAATCATAGGTTACACTGGTGAGTAACATTTGAAAGTATATAGTATAGTTGTAATTAGATTGCATTATTAGACAGAGAAAACATTAACAGTAAAAATAAACATAAAGCTGCAGTTGCAGTAAATCACAAGCAGTTTTTCATGGGACCACCTCAGCTTTTTTTGGGATTAATTTGCTTTACATTATTTGTCCTCTACTGAACCAGTTCCCTTCAATTTGTGATGATTACGAAGGGTGCCTTGCTAATTTTCTGATTCACTTGTCTGCTGAAGGCACACAATTTTAATTCTGTGCAGCCCTATCTGATTAGCGCCAATTTGACATACCATGTGAGTAAATGCATTTATCTCCATTGGGACAGAGAAACACGAACAGCTGATACCTGACTGACTGCTGCATAAAACTGTCAACTGCAGACACATAAAACAACCTGTGCAGTCAATTTTAGGGGCCATATAAATCAATCAAGAGACAAAACACAGTTAAACAGCATGTGCTATTAGGAAGAGGTTTGCCATTCACTGTCTCTGTGTTTAAATGTAATGATCCTAGTTAGCTAGTGCAGGTTGTTACCCGTCTACATCCTTCTCAGGTTTGAGTGTGTTCAGCACTCGACTGGTGAGGGAAGCAGGGGGGAGGTGGAGGTAGACTCCGTGCACCCTGGGGTCTTCATTCAGCTTCAACACCTCCTCCACAATCTACGTGCACACAAAAAGACGAAACACACACAAACAGAAATGAGACTTTTTGCAGAAAAAGCAGTGTTTACACAGGATAAATGCATAACTTGTGGAAATATATCATGTTAAACTGTTAATATCATACTTGCTAGTATGAATACGGTCTGTATCGCCCACAGAAAACTCCAGCCTTCATACCTAAAAGGTAAAGTACCTTTGATCTTATAAAATAAAGTACTGTTTAAGAACAAAGAAAGAGAGAAACAGCATGTTCACCTTTAAATTGAACAGTTCAGCGCTATTAACTGAGCTTTACAAATGATAGTATTCCCTGAGGAAAGAGAGGGGGAATTTCTGAAAAGAGAGGAAAGATGTGAGAAAGTCGAGCAGTGGATCAGTAGATCAGTAGAGAGCCCTTAAGGCGAGGAAGTGTGATGTAAATAATCCACTGTCAGCTGAAATGCCTGAGCTATTCCCAGGGGTTCCTGCTTTCTACATAGATCAAGACTCAACTTCCATTTGGGCAAAGAGAGCCACAGCTGAGAAGCTACATAAAGTTACATAAAGTTGTAAACTACCATGAAGTGAGGAAAGAAATGAAAAAAGAACCTAATGGGTGAAATCAAGGATCTGCCACCGAACAGAGGATGAGTTACAGTTAAGTAAAGTTTTAAGGATATAAATGTGAGTCACGTATTACCTTCACATTTCACACAACCACCATGATCCCATGCGGCGCTGACAAACAGCCAGGGCAATGGGACATCATGCACTGACTTGTTAAACAATGGCGGGGGTAGGTACTGAGAGGCATTTGCCAAATGTGTGAGTCAATTTCACTTACTTCATCTTCACTGCACTCCTTCGCCAGACAAATCTGAGTGATGTTTAGGCCAATCTGTGCATATAGAGACAAGCAGAGGGTGAACCGTTTGAATGATTGTGTAACGAATGTGATTTGTGACAAGACAAAATGGGTACAATTCACACAGAGTTTGAAGAGCGCGACGGAAAATTACCGTTCCTGCAATTTTCTTATTGATCTCCAACAAGCTGTCATCTTCACCTGCCTTTGAGATAAAATCAGAACAAACACACAGAGATCTGATGACACAGGAATCTTTAATGGCTTCAGTATAAACAGAGCACCCTCAGGTAAGCTATGGTAAATTAAGGTGGAATATCACTACGGGTACAACAATACCTGTATAATGGCTAACAGAGGTTGGATTGATGGATTTCTCCTCTGCAGAGCCAGCATTGCCTCCTTGGTGCTCTGAACCACTTCCCTGGGAAAGAAAATAAAGCCACTAAACACAGGGATTTTAAAATTAAATTCAAGTCAAACATATGCATTCTTCAAGATTTTGGTAAAAGTACCTACAAGAGAAAGGTGGACACCATTTAGAACCGTTTATTCTGTGTTTGTGGGGTGGGATAAGACACTTAATTGTAAATGAAGCCTCAAACTCTTTCTAAACATGCCCTATTCAACTAAAATAGGTAAATTATGGGACAGCAGAAAGTAATACTGTGATTATTTTGATAGACATTGCGATATGGTTCAGGATTAGTGGGAATTATCTTTTTTATTGATGATATGATGAACATTTTTTAGGGTCTGTACCACACAAACATGTTTTCCTACATGTGGAGAACATTTCTGCAGCACGACAGTGCTTCATTATAACGTTGTCTGTCACACATTTTACTTTACTACTACGTTATTTAAAATATGGATTTATTATTAAATTAGGCTGTGAGCAGCACTTCCAACTAAATACACTGTAAAGTTGCAGTAAAAGGAATACCACATCTCACAAAAACAAAGAAGTTACCACAGAAATGAGATTTATTTTAATTAAATAAAGTAAAATATACTTTGTGAGGTTGCAGCCATTGGCCACCTCGCTGCACACGTGTGTGGGAGGGGCTTACTGTGTAAACGTGTAGTATTAACACACTGACCTATATATTGTCCAAAATGTAAACACTAACTAAAGCAAGTCCATCTCGGATCGATCATTCAGTGGATTTTATTGGTCTTAGACATAATTAAACATTAAATCCCCCCCCAACCCACCATAACGTACACTACATGCCACACACACACAAATGGCATATAAAAACCTACAACTTAAGGCTAATACACACACACACACACACACACACACACACATACACATACAGTGATGTCTCAAAACGTTGCAGCACGACTCATTATATATATTAAATGGATTTATATGTGTGTTTTAGCTCCATTCACACTGATTTGAGGCACATTATTTATTTATTTTACATTGAGTTTTTGGCAACAACAGAGAGAAGTTACATCAGCTGGCTCTGATGATACCGGAGACACGTGCGGAACTGGCTGCTAGCCGACAACAAAAAAAAAAAAAACGCCGGTGAGACCGGAAGTAACGAAAACTACCACAAACTACACCGTGTCTTTTTAAAAAAAAAAAAAAAAAAAAAAAACACAAATATAACAGTAATTTCGGGGCCATATTGTGTATTTTTAACGTAACACCTCTCTCTTTCTTACCTCAAAGAAGTGTCGCATTCAAACCCGCCGTCCTCCTGGGGCTGTTTCCTGAAGTTAACGGCTAGTTTTGGGTTGGTACCGCCGCCGGTGGTAGCGGCGGTCCGGACCATCAACCGGCGGCTGGCAGGACCAACCGGGAGGCATCTCCGGGACAAGCCGCCGATCCTGCTTCCTGGGTGGGTTGGATGTATCCGAAGGCTGCCACAGGCGCTACGGATTATAGACAACTTCATGGCCGTTTTATTTAACCGGGGTCTCTCTGCTTGCGATGGCCGGCGACGGATTCACCTTCACGGGAGGAACCAAAAAGAAAGTTGAGGTGGCGACAGGGTTCGTGATGGAGCTGCGGGTGTCTTCACGGGCAGTCGGAAATCTGAAGATTCAAAGTTCGACACAAATCACCAAACCGCGTGATGAATCCCAAACAGAGACAGAATCGTTATGATAACACGAGCTAAAGGATGATTAGGGCCGTAGGCAACGTGGCTGGTGCTTTTCCTAACGCTCAACAACATTTGACATAAACATAATACAACATAAATCACAAAATGTAACGTGTATATAGCTTCTTTATTCTGCCATTGCTACTAGTTCGGCTGCTCTACTTGTTAAAAGACCACAATAATATTATATTAACATTTTAGCACAGGGTTTATGTTTTGATTTTTAACCAGGTACACTGGAATACTTGTAAATCCGAGGTACACTTGAAAGCCTCAAAAGGAGTTAAGTGCTCGCGGTTACGAGCATGCGCCTTCACGTGCTATATTGACATAGACTCAGCATTTAAAAACATTATGGTCTATAGACCTGGGTACATAATAGATAGATAGATAGATAGATAGATAGATAGATAGATAGATAGATAGATAGATAGATAGATAGATAGATAGATAGATAGATAGATAGATAGATAGATAGATAGATAGATAGATAGATAGATAGATAGACAGATACTACTATAGACTGTATGCATGTTAAATAACACACAATTAAATGTCTCAGCTCTTAAATACCTGAGAAAATAACTCTTTGGATGCAGCTATGATAACCCAATATGTTAAAGAAGGTAACCACTCTTATCATTGGTGACTGTGATTAGACTATAGTCCCATTGGAATCAATACCAGGCAGCCAAGGATCAAAGTGTGTGTGTGTGTGTGTGTGTGTGTGTGTGTGTGTGTGTGTGTGTGTGTGTGTGTGTGTGTGTGTGTGTGTGTGTGTGTGTGTGTGTGTGAGGAGTTGTGAGTCTGAGTTGGAGCCTACTGTTCAATCTAGGTGGGATCACATGGGAATCAGATGTCCCTTCTCCCTCTGATAACGACTTTACGGCCAAATTTAATTTAGACGTTCAACAAATAATAATAAAAAAACATGAAATGTTTGTGTGTGTGTGTGTGTGTGTACATGGTTTTATGTAACATGCTGTTTTGCAACTGAACTAAACTTTGATGGAGTTTACACAAAGGTTTTGTTACAGTTAATGCACATAAGAGGGAAAATAAAGAAAGCTTTCCCTAAAAATTAAAGATTTGGTGCATTTTTACCAAGATGAACCATAGTTTGTGTCCAACCATGAATTAAAACCCTTTTTTTAAACTATGGAAAATACCAATTGATGCTACTATCGAGGTAAGCTGTGTCACCAACAGAATGTGGTCAACAGTGTTGGGCAGTAACCCATTACTCGTAATAATATTACTTTTTCCCAGGAACTAGCAGTGTAACTACTTACTAATAAATTTCATTACTAATATTACAGTTACTCCTCCAAAAGATAACTAGTTACAATGTTCCTTTGGTTGTCACCCTGTACTGATTTTAAATCCAACAATCCAATCACATCTTTGGATCCATTTTTGTAATTGTGGAGGAAACTCTTCCATTCAGTGGCTGGAAATATTCCATTACTTTGATTTTAACAAACAAAACTGGACTTTAACCATCATAACATTACTGCTTCTTGCACTTCTGGTTGGATGCTTAACTGCATTTCGTTGTCTTAGTACTTGTACTTTGTGCAATGACAATAAAGCTGAATCTAATCTTATAAGTCTAAATTGTGGGGAGATGGGACACAATTACCAATTTTGTGGGGAGTAGCAGAAAAGTAATATAACTAGTAGTGTAACTATTTTATTTTTTTTTTGAGTAATTAACCCAACACTGGTGATCAAATACATAATATAGCCTACAGCTCTCCCTCTCTCCCTCTCTCTCTCTCTCTCTCTCGCTCACACACACACACACACACACACACACACAGACAGCAGAAGTCATTTGGGCGTGGCTGGGAAAATCAACGTCAATTCACCTGAGCATGGGCTCGGTTGTACCGACTCCAGGACTGTCAGGTATCACTGCCATCAAAACTAACCCTTCCCCAGTGGCTGGTGATTGACGAGTGGCCTAAATATTTAGACCTTTGGGCCCCCATTTTCCTGACAGTCAGTTTTATTCTTTAGGGTTCAGATTGGCTCTCACTCGGTTCAAACACAGCAGCTGCTCACAACCTTATCCGATTGACGCTCCTGAGGTGCAGCGTCACTGCAAACCGACCTGGCTTCATTCCTCAGGTCGCATCATTACAGTCCCATGGCGTGGCGCAATGCTTCTCCCTAACAAAACCACAGTTGAATACCAGTTTTGGCTCTAAAGATAGGCGCATTACTCATGTAGGGCCCTTTTGTTTCAGCCCGTAGCAGTCGACTTCAGAACTGTAGGATGGTGCTGTGGCACCGAGGCCACCTTTACATTATAGGATAAGGTTGATTTCTGTGGAGATCAGAGCACAACAGGTAAAGAGTTTTCATTTTATTTTAATCTTACAAACATGCATGAAACATTCAAAGAAAAATGAAGGAAATGATCAACCTATGCGTGTGTTTGGAGTCGGATCATAAAATGAGCTGAGATTTAAGCAATGTGGTGATAGCTACTCAGCAGGGTAAACAAAAGGCATTTAAACGAAATCAATTAACTATATTTGATAAAATATACATTTGCGATTTATTTTAAAAAATGTATTTAAAATAAATGAACATAGATTGTATTGTTTATCATATATGTATATACATATACATATATTTATAAAGCCTTGGAGCCACAGCATGTCTGTATACGGCCTGCTACCATTTACCTTGAACACCTTTGACCATGAGACTGAGCAGGTGCAGATCATTTGAATAATTCCTACTTTAAAGGAGTGTTTTTCATGGGTGTTAAGTATTGTAATGAATGATTCCCAACCTCATGACCTGGAGCACTTGAGTCAATATTAATTTTAGTATTAATACATTTTAATATTCTACCAACTAGATGTCAACTTAATATGTAATTATTTAAAGGATCTGATCACACATAAAGACTATTAATCTGAGAACAGAGAACGACAGCAACAACATAATCAGGCAGGAGTTCCTGAAGTTTGAGAACTTTCAATCTAATAACCTTATTTCACATTGGAAATATTTTATTTTAGACTATGACTCAAACTCGAGATCCAAGATATCGGATGTGCAGTATTTGCAGAATCTGATGCTCCACTTAGATTAGAAGCAAACATGAATGTCTGCTTAAAGACGTCAGACAGCTCGCAAGTTAAAAGAACTAGTTTGGTGAGGAGGAACACCTTTTGACTGTTCTTTGGAGAACCTGTTGGGCCAGTGCTGGGTGGGTTAGAGCTGAAGGAAGAAGGAAAATGCTTTTAAACAGGCACGACAGCTTTAATGAGATACCGGGTGTGTTTAAACGTGTGTCCCTTCTTACACTGTGTTTTATCAAACCATCTGTGGTTCAAAAAGTTAAACTCCACATGATGTGAAACTAAAGATTTGTTGTTGCTGATGACTCTTTCAGGTCATCTTTACTGAGTTATGTTCACTATATGTTTGGCCAAAATAACCAGACAGGGAAACGATCTGTAACCTTCTGTTTGTTCTCCAGCCCAACCATGAGGGACAGACTGAGCAACCTGCAGGAAATGTCCAATGGCCATGTGGAGCCAATGGAATATGCAGAGTCCACTGTCTCCGAGTCCTTCAGCAATGTGGACCTGGAGGACGAGTTGCCCCACGAAGCAGTGGTGTTCGACAACAGCCCTGCTCTGGAGGGGGTCTTTTCCCAGTCGCAAGACATCCACAGAGAGATCCAGCTCATCCGCCTGGAGGTTAAAAGGCTTCGAGAGCAGAACTCTCGCATTCTCAAGGGCGTCACCACCATGAGCACTATCAAAAGGGACTCCAACGCCATCGGTGCTGATATAAAGGCTCGGGCTGAGGGTGTGCTAGCACACCTGCAGGAAATGGACGGCACAGCCCACAAGCTAGAAGAAGAACATGGCTCGAATTCTGCCATCACACGTATCGCCAGAACCCAATACGCTTGCCTCAGCAATGGTTTCCGCGATGCCATGTTTGACTATAACGAGGCTGAGATGAGCCACCGGGAGAACTGTAAATCCCAGATCCGGAGGCAAATGGAGATAGTGGGACGTGAGATGACAGGGGAGGAGCTGGAGGAGATGATTGAGACAGGTCAGTGGAACATCTTCAATGACAACGTTGTGAGCGAGGGTAAAACGGCCCGATCAGCTCTGTCCCAGATCGAGAAACGTCACCAAGAGCTGGTGGACCTCGAGGCTCGTATCAATGGCATCCATGAGATTTTCCTGGACATCGCCATGCTGGTGGAAGAGCAGGGCTCCATGCTGACCTCCATCCAAACCAACGTTCAGAAAACTGATGAAGACATACAATTGGCCCTGGTCAAACTTGGAAAGGCCAAACGTCATGACAAAAAAAACCCCTTTAAAAGGATGTTTTGCAGCTGTTTCCCGTGCTACAATTAATGAGTTTATAGTCTAGCGATTGGTAGAGGGATGGAGAGATCTTCTGTTCAGACAAAGAGAAGTGGGAAATTTTCTGTATTTTTTCCCCCTGCCATTAGTACGTTGTATTATCACAAAGCATTTACCGTTGCGCCACATTTTTTCCAGGAAGTAAAATAAAGTTTTGATTGAAAGTTTTAAAAAAAACTATTGTCTATACTGAGAGATAAAACATGCTTGGGTAAAACATTTTAAAACTGTACTGAAGTGATGAGACTGGTATCTCAAATCAGAATAAATCCCCGTGACTGAGGTGTGATGCAGATCTGAAACTAATAGTATTTGAAAATAACGTTCGTTATCCGTTTTTATAGCCTGTCTCAGTTTCCATGTAACACATTTATTCTCTTAAAAGGAAATTATTTGAAAATTGAGTTACATGTTTGTGCTGACATAAAGGTTAATACAGTAAATTGCTTAAGGACATAAACCCTAAAGAAATGTTATTATATCCAAATTCAATAAACAATTCAATATTACTGTGTCAATGCACTGGTAAAAATGGATGTCCCAGACTTACGGCTGAAAGAAAATGATTGATCGGACTGTAAATATTTTCTGAATTACTATATATATATATATGTGTGTGTAAATTATTAAATGATGATGGTGATAGAAACTAACTCTTCTGTGTCCACATTGCACAATGAACCTATTTAAATTTATTTCCTTATCTTTTGAGGACACCAGTAATCGAGGAGTTACAGCAGTTTTAATAGTATATATAATGCTGTCGTAATGTTATGCAGGAATCACACAATTGATGGATGATGTAAATGATGTAATGTACACTAATCTGTTAATCTGACTATATGTATGATAATAGTTTTATGCTGTCTGACTTTCTTCTGTGGTCTCATGTATCATTACATAAACAGCTATATTAAGATCAGTGGGAGTTTGTTCTTGTTTGAACATGAAATCTACATTAACACATTAAAATAAAGACCTGTTGAGATTTATTTCTTAATTCAATTCACAAACCAGGGGCCAAACAACATAATTAATACATATAATCTGGTATTCATGTAATACTCTCTGTCCAGCCCTGGGCCTCCTAAATCATCCAGTGGTATCCCAGACACACACATCCACTAACACAGTGGTTCTCAAACATTTTTTAATAATGTAAATTGAAATATTTTTTTTTCAAGTACCTCCTGAAAAGTGCCTATAAAAGGAGGTACAATACAGCGCTGCTCAAACAGCGTCTGATTTATTAAGAATACTTAAATGCTTAATTTCAAATGTTTGGAATCTGTCAATAAATTCATGGGAAAACATTATTATAAAACATTAAGCAATAACACTAAACAGCATTGAAGTTGCATTGAATTGTGTCTTTTTGGTAAGTTGTGCTTCAGTAAGATCTTTGTCATCAATTTCTTTTCCAGAGGTTTTACTTTAGTTGACAGTTTATGTCAGATAACATTGAAGCTTTTTAAAATTGAATATAAAATGTGGTTTTATTGACATTATAGCATAATTCATTTAGGAATTATGCAAGACTGATATTTTCTAAATGAAGATTTAAAATTACAGTGTAAATATTTTCTGAATTACTATATATATGTAAATTATTAAATGATGATGGTGGTTTGATAGTAACTAACTCTAAGATTAAAAAAACTAAAACAATCTCACATACCCCCTGCAGTACTCCAAAGTACCCCTAGTACAGATACCCACATTGGAGAAACACTGCACTAACACACAGGTGTCATCACTATACAAACAAATGGCAGCTTGCGTTACAGCAGTTCACTGTCAAACACTTATTTCCTCAATACAGGTCTCATGAACATTGGTCCATTGGAAAACTGTCTTACTTAATCAATAAGTCTCCTGCTTCCCGAAGTGAAAAGAAAGCTGCTAAAATACCCATCTCCCTTCAAGGAAGTGTTTTTGTGTTGCAGTGGGAAGGCCCATGTCTGTCACCGAGGAAGGGGCGGCATTCACACACACAATGAACACACGGCAGACAACTTCCTTCAGAATAAAAAGATGTGTTTCTCAAGCGCCTTGGACCAAATGTATCAGAGTGAGACATATTGAAGGGATTTACTTGCTTTCTGCTTTAGTGGGAGCCATTTACAAGAGGTAAGACACTAAGCATTGATAGCTGAATGATATGTCATGAATTTTCTGCAGCTGGGGACAAGTGGATAATTGGTGGGAGTTAATTAGTGCGATACTGCCCGAGCTGCTTGGAAAGACTGAAACTAGGCTGATTCAGTGGTCATCAAGAAACAAGACATTTAATTGTTGTATTATACGCAGTGACAGCTTTTTAACAATTTTCTATGGTATGAGGAAATGGATTTTCTATGTGCAGACTGAGACTGTGTGAAACAATCAGTGGCAGAGATTTAGGCAAGCACCACAGTCTTAAAAGTTTAGAGCAGGATGAGTTTGACCAAATGAATGTACTTCTTAACGTACTTCTTACAAACATACTGTGCAACAATGCCATACCAAAAGCACATTCAAAGCAAATGTTTGTTTTTTCAGTAAGATGGTGTCTTCCTTGTTCCTGGTTTAAATGAACACATTCCAACAAGCCTTTGAGCTGTGACTGCTGTCATTGCCACAGACTGAAACTACAGATAAACTGACCAGTCATTGTATCACTAGTTAAACAATACTGATATATTAGCTTTTGGATATCAGCATATCCCTCCAATTGGCATTACTGTCACCATATGCTAATTCCCAGCTCTATATTTTTATTCTCAGACTCCATTAAAATACTGTTTAATCCTATTTTATACTGGCCCTTCATGCAGCCTGTCAGTTCATCCTTTATCTGAAGCCATTTTGTCTTCTGTCTCTTTAAGGCTGCCCTGTGTTTCTGGGGGAGAGGTCTCACTAATTAGTGTACAAAAACACAATGGTTTCGGTAAAACTGCATCTCATTTTATGGAGATAATATATTCTGTTTTTTCCCATTGATGGAAAGATAACTTCACTTGTTGTTTGTGGCTTAAGTAGCTGCTAAAAAATAACAGTTGGCTTCACTTGTTGCTTCAACGATTGCTAACTGTTCATCAGGAAAAGTCTGTAATGTTAAATCACCAAGAGTTGTGGCAGAGCAGCTGAGGACATTAGAGGGAAAACCAGAAACCTGGGAAGCTGTACAATGGTATGATGATGCCTATATTGACTTCCTGACATCCAACAATTGTGCAGATTTTCCTTGACAATTTTGTCTTGTAGCTTGCTGGCTCAGCAATGGAATGACTGCTTAGTGTTGTTTTGTTAATAAAGTTAAAACACAAGAGGAACAGAGTGTATGCAAAAAGTATTCAGGTGGAATACAAACAAATATCACTCCGGGGCACTCCTTTGTGCCCTAATGAAGTTAAAACAACAACCAAAAAACAGGTTGAGGGTGACAATAATCACAACTTTGCTGTTGTTGTCTGTTGGCTGGTTTAAACTACTTTTACAGTATTTATATAGCACCTAGACCTGTTTCATAATTATAAAATACATCAAATTTCACTTTCTACAATATAGGACCTTTTTAATATCATTAATATTATAGTATTTAATATTTATGGGGAGCCCTATGAGGGCTTACCATAATGAGGTTGGACTTAAGATCCAATGGACATATGTCCGCGTGGGTTCGAACCCCACTCCTGGTATAGCATTTTAGTTACGTCTCTATCTGCGTCTTTGAATTACCTCGATATAAATAATAAACTCATGTATAAACTCGTGTATAATGCACGTGATAATAACTTTGTATTATGAATTTAATGTATTTGATCATCATGAAAATCTACCTGAAACTGATTGACCAACATCTTGCTCAACTCTGGTCTCTCAGGCAGGATGCGGGACATGCTGGAGAGGCTACAGACCATTAGCGAGGAGGAGGAGGACTATGAGCCAGAGTTTTATGGACCTGAATATGATGTAGACAAAGTGACTCTGTCTCAACAGGCAGTGTTGTTTGAGAACACCTCAGCTATTGACAACATCCTGAAGGAAGCCCACTCCATACGTAAGGAGATCTCCTTGCTCCACCTAGAGGTGGAGCGCTTGAGCATCCATAATGAACGCTTTGGCACCTCTGTGCGGCGCCTCACCCTTCTCAAAAAGGACTCTGACTCCATTGCCAGAGGGATCCAGCAACGTGGGGAGGCCCTGTACGCCCGCCTTAAGACCCTGGGTGAAGAGAGCCGCGAGCTGGAGGTGAAAGAAGGTCCCAACTCTGCTGCTAGTCGCATTGCCCGAGTTCAGTATGACACACTGACCCGCACCTTCCACGCTGCCATGAGTGACTACAATAAGGCAGAGGAGATGCAGAGGAAAACGTGTCGGGGGAGGATCCAGAGGCAGGCCTCCATACTGGGGACTGAAATCACTGATGACCAGCTGGATGGGATGGTGGACAAAGGTGGTGAGGGATGGACTGAGCTTTCCCAGAGCCTGCAGACCCAAGGCGGACGCTCGTCCCGTTGGGCGATGTGTGAGATTAAAGGCAGACACAAGGAGCTGGTGGAGCTGGAGGCCAGACTGAAGGAGGTCCATGACCTGTTCATGCAGATGGCCATGCTGGTGGAAGAGCAGGGATCCATGGTCAATAACATTGAGGCCAATGTGTGTAAGACTGTGGAGTACGTCGACAAAATCAATGTTGACATCAAGAGGGCCCTACAGTACAAGAGGAAAAACCCTTTTCAACAATGTTGCCCCTGTCTACCCTGTTGGAGACACAACCAAACTTTTTAAGGGCTTATTTTTGACTTTATGCAATGTTATGGATGATTAAAAATAAATATTTACTTGTGTAAAAAGTTATGGACAGCTGAAAAGAAATGTTATGTAATGTATTGTAATTCATGGTAAGTCAGCAGATGTAAGACCAGCAGTCTAAATTTGATTTACACAGAAATATCTGTTCCTGTTATTTGGATCAGATAATTAATTTAAAAGCGAGTGTGCGTGAGAGAAATATATACGTTTTAATTTAAGTTGAATCAGCTAAGCAGATCCCTGACGTGCAAAATAAATGCTGTTGTAGTAAATTAAAATTGGTTTGTTGTGCTTGGCAGAACATCAACATAGTAAGTTGAATCATGGGGATAAGGTCTTTTAGAAAAGTGGAAGAATTGGAGTCATGAGAGTGATGGTGGTGCAGTTAGTGGTGACAGATGAGATCCATTTAGAAGAGGGAACAGGATTACGGTAAATTATCGAAGTCACCATCACTACGTGGTTGTACTTCAGGAGAAATACCTTGGTCTTATGTAAGTGGGAGGAGATTCAGATACACAGAAATTAAATAAACACTAAAAGAAAGTGAAACTCTAAAGTGACAAAGACGATGAGATGACGAGAGACGTTTCATTCTGATGACCAAAAGGTACGTTTGGTTTAAAATGCTATGTTGATGTGGGTTTTGAAGCAGGTATAAAAGTCAGAAATGGCTCTACAGTCAGCCAAAGAATGGGGAAGAGAGAGAGAGAGAGAGCTGCTCTTCCAGATTCTTCTTCACTCAGACTGGACAAGAGACATGTCACATGATCCCATGACACAATCTATTTTTTGAGTGTAAAATGAGAGAGCTGTAGCCTTTAGCTGTCAGCCTGTGTGGTCCTATATGAAGACAAATTATGTTAACAAGATGGTTAGTCCAGTAGTTTATGTTAGGCTACAGCTTATGTCTTGTTATTGAAAAATAAGTAACCTTAACATGAGCAAGCAGCATAGCTAAATTTAACCAGCTTGGGGGGTTCGGGACAAACATGAGCTGTGTGTGTGTGTGTGTGTGTGTGTGTGTGTGTGTTATCCATGGTATGTTACAAGGCTCCAGGCCTGTTGTGTGGTAATTTGATTAAAAATAAATTAACTTAGCAGGCCCAGTGTCATCTGAAATATTATGTCAGGAACTAATCCCAGATTTTGACACAGGGACTGTCAGGTACTAATGTAATGTAATCAGTTCATATAGTGCTTTAGTGGTTTATATTATTTCCATATCCCAGAACAAAGTTACATTTGATCATATTAAAACCAACCAGTTGCCACACAGAAGCCTTTAACTGTACAATTAAACAGATTTCATTAAACAAAATGAAACCCTTGGTTGTTCGTACACTGTACCAATGTCAGAAATAACCACTGAAAGTCATTTTGCAATTTATAAATAAAGTAAAAATAAAACTATATTGTCTCATACAGAAGAGAGAAGTGTAAATATGTGTTGTAAAATGGGAAATACAAAGCCAACACATGATAGGCGACTCGTCCGTGCGTGTCCGGTTTCAGTGCCGCGGTCAGCCCGTAGTAGCCGTCACTGTCACTTCAAGTCTCCTACCGACTCCGGTAACTTCTCCTGCACGGATCCGTGAATGCCTCCAGAGGTCTTTTCTGTTTGGGGTTTTGCTTTTCCTTCGCACCCTCATTTTTGTGGCGTGGCACCATTTCTGTTGGTAACGATAACAGGGATTCAAGCAATACAATAAGCTGACATTATTATGTCTGGTAGTGCTTTTGAACACTTAAATCTAACCACATTTTGTCTTAAAAGCTGTGTTGCGTCAGTCTGCCTCTACAAGTTAGCTGCTAGAGGCTAACACAGCGCTAGCATCGTGGTTAATCCCTACATGAGGCGTTTGGTAATGCGGGGAGCCGTTGTAACAATCGTGTGCGTTTCAAACTCCATGGTTATTTGGAAATTATTATTATTATATTATTATTATATATAGTTTTTCTAGTGGAAATGTGGCGGGATGCGGTGTATACACCAGGATGGCCGAGTGGTTAAGGCGTTGGACTTAAGATCCAATGGACATATGTCCGCGTGGGTTCGAACCCCACTCCTGGTATAGCCTTTTAGTTACGTCTCCATCTGCGTCTTTGAATTACCTCGATATAAATAATAAACTTGTCCGCTAAAACAAAAGCCCTGGATGATGGGATAGAAACAGCACGTCTCTATGCGAGGTAGTCAGACGCAGTCATTACACTCTTGCTGTGAATGGTAGGCTTCTTTTCATCTAATGCACCAAAGAAAAATACAACATTGGCCTCCGTAAGTAGTGGTAACGTGACAAAAGCGAAGACATTCACAAGAAAGACGTGGTATTAAGTGTTAATTCTTTACGTGTATCAACTAACGGCACCTAAAGACAGTGTAAAGTGTTTAAATACATTTTTGTACAATTAATCTGTAGCTCATTTGGTCATGATTGACAACAATGTGGTATTGTAAAACAAAATAAACTCTTTTAGATTGATGAAGATTTTTACAGTACAAGCCCACCTCCTGCTGGCACATACAGTATTTATGCATTTGCTATATTTGATGAATGTGCCCATGAGATGATACCCATAATTACTTTCAACTAGGTTGATTGTGGAGAACATATTTATAAGTGCATAAATATATGTCTTTAACGCTGTATTTATTTAGTGTATTTAGTGAAGTCCTCCAGGTTTCCGTGGTCTATTTTCAGAGAGTAGTTGCACCATTGAGGCAGAAGAGGGCACTGTAAGCCCTCGCTGTAGTCTCTGGTCTGTGGTGTAACACAGGCCCTAGTGGAGGCCTACACACTCTCACCCCTATAATTTAACTGCAAGGGCGATGCCTTAGATTCATGGATACCCAGTCATCTGCATCTGCCGCAGGAAAACAGCTGTAACTCTTCTTAAGTTGTATTCAGAAGTTTGCTGCACTGTTACATGGGTCCAAGAAACATGAATGTGAAATGAGTATTGTGAAACTTTCTCAACCCACTGAGATTTTTATATAGGTCTTTTGCACTGTAGTGTTGAATGAATGTAAACAATCAGCAGTACCTGCGTGTAACTGTGCCTGTGTGGAGCCTTGATATTTAAGATGTCCCCATTTTACATAAGAGTCTACGTAAATATGTCAGTGAAGCATTTCTTCCTGTCCCTTTACTCCATCTATACCCGCCACCAAATAAATATGCTGTCACTTGATAGGTGTCCGGGGCCTAAGAGAGCACTAATTTGTGAAATTGAGCTTCTTCTTTCAGCTGTGCGAGGAAGCATCCACAAAAGAGCCCTGACAACTGAGAAGAGGGAGGGAGAAGCATGAGGGCTTACAATGGAAGATCAACATCTCTGCATCCCCAAAGCCTCGGAGACTCTTTCGAATGGGCCTTAATCTATTATTCAGTCCCCTCAGGTACTGGAAAAGTTGTTTCTTTTCAGGCCAACACATCACGCAGTATAATAAAATGATACCTGATCCAAGAGGTAGTGGAAGGGTTTATGGTAATGATAATGGCTTTTGTTGTTATTATTATGGTTATTTATATTGTTAATGTTATTTTTAAATGTTCACATTTTAACTGTCTGATCTGCTTGTTTCTTTGTTAGCATTTAATGTATGAAAGGTGCTCTATAAATAAAGTTTATTATTATTGAATTAAATGTTTTATGTTCCCTGAATTTGTCCAATAATTTGCAGGTGTTTGTTATGAGCGGGGGGGCTCCAATGAAAAGTTAAGCAATCAGTGGTGGAATGTAGCTATGTACATTTACTAGAACTGAAACCATAAACACATATTGTACTAATTGTACATTTTATTTGATGAAACTAGTTGATTTTCATAATAGCTTCAATAAAAACACATGTACAGTCAGTAAAATGATTCTGTGTTATAGATTAAACTGAATAAAGTAGTTTGTATGTAGTAACTTGTTCTGGCTCAGCATTTAAATGTTATAATAATACAGTATAATATATAATAAAATACTGACGGTACATTATTGATGCTTTTATTACATTTTACTGACAATACCTCTGGTTTTAGATACAGGAGTTTAACTCATAATAGAGTTTGTTTATCAGATCAGATCAGAAATACTTTAATAATCCCAGGGGGAAACTATTTTCGTTACAACACTCCAGATATACAAACGACATATTATACAAACAACATATATATATATACAACATTCAGCACAAAAAATATAAATATATATATAACTATATATAACTATATATAACTATATATATATATATATATATATACAAGATCAATGTACAGTATTAATGTGCAAAAAGTGCAAAAGAATGATTGTCTATGTTTTGAGTCAGAATTACAGAGGGTTTACAGTTTATAATGTAATATAGCCACTTTTACTAAAACACAAGATCTGTAAACTGTAATAGTTTTCATAATCCAAGTAAATACAGTTATATTTCTCACATTACACACATATTACAATAAAACACTGAAAATGGATCAAATGGCTTCGTCCTCGGTGCCTTTGCTAAGGGAAAGTTTCAAAGACCCTTGGCCTACTAAACCTTCCAGTTTTTTTTTTTATTTTTTTTTATTCCATCCCATTAAAGTTCCTGGTGCAGCTTTGTGTTTTCCACTGGGAATCACTGGTTTCGTTGGTGCTACGTCACGTGACGCCCACCCCGCGCCATGTTTCCATCTCCGCGTCAGGAAAACTTTTACAGCCAGAGGGAACGGCTCGAGACCCAGCGTGAAGCTGTCCTCAGTGAACACGGTGCTTCCGCTCTGGACCTTCAAAATAAATCTCACTTCTGCGCTGGGGAAGGAGTAAGCTCCCTTAAAATGGTCATAGCCGTGGAGTAAAACTAGAAACAGAAGCAAATGTCATTCTTTAAATCATACATAATGTCTCAAAAGCTATTTCACATAGTATAAATGTAATATATGGAGTGGCATTATGTTGTAAGCCCTGACATAAAAAACCTATGCACCCGTCTTTTACGCCCTTTTACTTTGAAGGCCCCCCCTGTTGTAGTAGCATTTCCGTTATGTTTCTCTATCTCCGTGTAGCTTAACATCGGCGTAAGCGGCAGGGAGAAAGAGTCAAGTAAGCAACAGGAACAAAGTTGTGGGACCTGAGTCCAGAGTACTGCGGCGTTCACCCGTGAAATGTAACAACCATCTCTCCGTTTCCCAAGAGACAGCCCCGCCGTGTGGCTCTCCGAGACTACGGTACTTTGTGTTTTCCGTTGCAGCAAAAAGGCGTCTCTTTTTTTTTTTTTCTTCTTTTTTGTTGTTGTTGTTAAGGA